AGTTTGGACCTTTTCTCCACAGTACATTTACAGTGAAACGTGATTATCAGGAGATAAAGCATATACAGAAATGTTTGTTTCAAGATATCGGCAGAGCGTACATAGATATAAAGGGAATCAAATACAATAACATCAGAATACCTCACCGCTGTTGTTTTGGCTGCTTTTTGGAGCGAGTGAAGTTTGGAATTGTTTTGATCTCATCAGGGGAGATCACCTCAATTATCCTCTGTGCTCATTGATTTTCCAATGTTTTATAATGTTACAAGTTCAGTCAAAGTCAGTACCTTTGCAGCTTGTTTAGTTTCGGCACGTCACTTTGCCACCTGGTGCTGAGCTGCACATGTTCAGACAAGAGTCAGGGACACCACACAGTAAAAGCTACACATCCTCCAAGTCGCCACCCAGCACAGAAATATAAGAACGACAATGTGTCTTTGCTGATATAATCCACTAATTGGCGATTGATTGTTTAAAAGTGAGCTTTATGTGGGCCTCAGAGAGTTCCTCCAAATAAGTAGAATGTTATTCTTTATCAGAATTGAATAAAGAGGTGATTAGTCAGCAGGCACTTACTGAAATTATGACAGTGTTTGGTCTTGGGCGTAGCTTCAGTCAGCTGTTTAATCAGAGCGGAGCGGCTTTTGTGACAGGATGTTTTAAGGGGCAGGTGCAAAAACATACAGCTTCGAGCAGATGTGGACAGATGGTGCCACAGATGCTGTTACAGAACTTATGTGAAAAGTAGCTAATTCAGAAAAAAAACCCACAGCAAACAAAATTGTGAAACCTCATGTGGATGTAACACAGCCCTTTTAAGAAGAGGTGTATATCACAATTAATTTCTTTTTGATTTCTCCAAACATGTGTACCACGTGTCATTAATTAAAATTGGTTCCAGATATAATTCAAATCCAAAAAAAGTGTCTTTATGAGGATCTCATCACACCTTTGATTTTTATTCTCACAAATCTCCACCAAAATGGACGCAAATATTAAAATCTCAACATGAAATTGGCATATTGGGCAACTTAGAATATTTTTTTAATATTTTTTTCAAATATATTTAAGACAGTAATTTATCTTATCATCCGAACATCTTAATATTTAAACAAAAGCCTTAAGAGAAACAAATCACGGGCTCACCTCTGCGTGTCTCTGCTGGATCCTCATCCTCCTCATCTGAGCCGCTGTGGTGACGTTCTATATGATGCCTCCTTCCACACAAACTGAACAACAAAATGACACAGCCCCTGAACACAATGAGTGGTAAAGTCCCCTCTGGTCCCTCAGTGATTACCTGAGCATCTACACAATAGTGATCAGAGGGGGAACAGAGGACCATTCACACATCAATCCATACATCCATAGTGCAGCTATTAGGTTTCAGACTACACATGCAGCACTGGTGTGTGTGTCTTTGTGCACTACTGCCGTGCCATCCCTCTCTGTGAGCATCTAAGTAAACAGTTCGGCACATCCATTGTGTATTAAAAGCAGGAGTTCGAATGCACACACATCCACCTGTGCAAACACACACACACCATACGCTATCATCATCTCACACTTGTGTCCGGACGTCAGAGCCTAAAGAGTGATCTGTTGGGAGGGGGGGGGGGACCTGTACCGACAATAGCCCATTAGGCATTTGTGTGTCTGTGCTGCCTTATCATGCTCATACACACACACACACATTTGACAGGGGTGTGGCTTTGATTCCTTTTGCCCTGATTACCTCTGCAGACTGCCTCCTATGTTTTCATTGATCCGAACCTGAGTTTTCTGTACAGGACATCACAAAATCATGACGGGGTCGTTCCTGTTAAATCAAACAGGTGATCAAACTTAATGCTTTCCTTTTTTAACCCCCCCTCCCCTTTTTAGTATGTCCTTTATACTTCTCTGAGCTCTGCTTGGTAACAGGTCATACTATTCAAGTGTATGCATTTATGTATATATGTACTATATGAGCTAACATACCAGTGGTAGAAGAGAACAAAGGGAAAATAAACATGCAGCAATATGAAACAGCCTGTGATCCATATGATGTTCTCTTTTCTAAACACAATGCATCTCCATTGTGTACACTGTGTGTCTCGTCTTTATGGTTAGTTGTGCAATATTTGCCCAGCAAATGGGACATGGATGCCTGTTCGTCGTCTCATTTTCCAACTTCTCCAACCTTTTATACATTTAAAAAAGGGTCTATTTTCTTTCTTTAACTCTTAGCTTAATGAAGCCAAACATTTTTTTTGAATTTGTACAAAAATGACATATCAGTCCTTCTTAACCATTACACATGTGAAGCGTTTCATGCCACCTTGTGTTGGTAAACATTCGGATCTAATCGCAAAAGACGGATTTTTGTTCACCTAATCTTAAAATATAAGAACCAGAAGGAGAAAATCCTCCTTTTCTTCGACAGGCCAAGTTCTTAAATAATAGGAAGTGTAAACGTACGCCATCCTGGTATGATTACTCTCTGTTACCATGTGCTGTAAAAGCTTGTTAGAATGTAATTTGCATAAAATCTATAACCCTTTAGTGATGGGTAAAACCGTGTTTTTAGTCCATTTTGATGCTTATGCTTGTGAAAACCTCATTTATACAGTTTATACAGGTATCTAACTAACCTGGATGTAAGGTCAAGTGTTTCCCGTTTCTCCAGATCTTCACTGTCACACCTAACGTTGATCCCCAGACTTTGTGATCACTACATGTAATTACAGGAGGCAAACAGAAGAGGGCAGAAGATACAAACTTCTCAGGTCTCTTCAAGCTTGTTGCTTTTTAAACCTGTCTTATTTCTTTTAAACAATTTATGAGTATATACATGGCAAATGGTAAAATCGGGTATCATTCATAGAGCTGAGGACTACTGTAGTTGAACTCTTTTACCTGCAATTTAGCTTCAATATGGCAAATTGAAAAGCCCAAAACAACAAAAGAACTACAATTGCCCATCATGCTGCCTTCTCCAATCTGAAGTGACATCATCTAAATCCATTCTGATACAGAGCAAAGCTGTAACTATGGCAGGAGGCAGTGTTTCACACTGGAAGAAGAAGGCCGGAAAATCTAAACAAAACATCTCTCAAACACATCCGACAGCACTACAAAGTACAGAAATAGAAGATGGGCATCTGACATCATGTTATTTGCTTCAACGACTGTCATTTCTCTTCAAGGTTTCCTGTTCACTTACGGCATTACATAGGGATTTTTATAGTTTAGTTAGCTGGTGTTAAAGTACTATTTTTTGTTGTTATTGCTAAAACTTTAAAGTTCCTTTCTGATTCTGATATGACCCCACCCACTTCTCCACCCAGCTGAGTCCACCCTGCCAGCCTGTCTCTCACAGCTTGACACTTGGCACGTTAGCCCAGTTTCCTGTCTGACCTCATCCGGGCCCTCTACGGTTACCTCCATTAGGGTGCCGCTGAGGGCTACGGCTTCCTCCTTAGCCTCGGCCTTGCAGGCTGATTTAGTCCATGTCTTGTAAAACATAGAAAAACATCTCATGCATGAAAGGGTTTAAAAACGTTATTTTTAACAAAGGGAACCAAACAGGACGTCCACAGGGACTCATGTGGAATCTGTTTAAAAGCTCTAAATGAGTTTAAAACATCAGTTGGCCTGAGGCAGCCCAGGCTTCATTTGAGTAAGAAATTGAATATCGCCAAAGAAGAGAAATTCCAGTTCAACATAAACTTGTAGCTCTTGCGCACAGGCCACACACACTCGCACTTGGCCACGCCATATGGAGCCTGGCAGCATCAAGTGTCATGCCTGCTCCGCACAATACACACCCAGTCATCGGTACCTTTGTTCCTCTGCTCCAGAAAGCTATCCCTCCATCTCTGCCTTCCTCCTCCTCATTCAGGTTATGTCAAAGCAGAATCTCGCCGTCCACAGCGCACACTGACCAGACATTTTTAAGGCATCTTTAAGTCCAGCCTCATCCACTCAGCTCCCCTTCCTCTTCTGAAGCCTCCCACTCAGCCCCTCTCCTACACCGAAGAGATGCTGGTTAATATTTAATGGCACTATTGTGCTCATGTATGCGTGCGAGTCAATGGGGCCGCGTTGACCGGGAGCCTGCGCTTTCTGAAAGAGAAGTGGTCCGCTGGCCTGGGAGCACCTGCAGGCTGTGCCAAACGGCGGGGCTGTGGGGGGGGGCGGGCGGCAGGGAGGGCTCAGAGGAGGCTGCAGGGGCGAGGACGGAGCTGAAGATGTTCTCTGCACCTGGCGGCAAAGAGCCGGGAAAATATCCTGAAACAACAGCTGATGTGTTTGGATATCGGTGTCAATCGCCATGACAGGACGAGGGGGGGAAAAACAGACTGAATGTTTTAAAGACTTTATTTCACACATCTTTATCTGTCTCTCTGAATCAGTGTATTTTGTATCTTAAAGGGTAAAATCCACCGGTTTCTATTCAGTTCAGATATTTTCCGTTTTCTGAGGTTCAACGTTTCTGTTAAGATTTCATATACTAAATAAGGATGTTAGTCATTTTTTTCATTTGTATTGTCTTTGAATAACTACTGTCCGGAAGCGTCTCCTCTTTTACTTCTTAACTATTTGGATGACATCTTCGTGCTCCATGATGTGTGTTAGGCCCACTCTCTGAGGACTGTACTTCGTACTGGTTCCCTGGAGAGAAAATACAGCTTAGGAACTTGGACCAAGTAGATGTGAAGTTAATCAATAGTGAAGAGAATGAAGTGAAATAATTATGAGCTGAAGACCACCACAACAAATTCTTTCTAAAAACTGGTGTGCAGATTACCAATTATGTGCCATAAACTGCTAAAAAAGATTTACAAAGATTTGAATTGTTTTTAAGAACCTGAAAACCTTGTTAATTCACTATATATACATATATAAAAAGACTACCAGTAAATTCACTTTTTTTTAAAGACATAATTTTAGCATCCTTTTTTTTTCTTGATTTAGAGGCACTGTTACAAAAAAGAATACGTTTTTTTGAAAATGTGACTGCAAGAAACAAAAGTACAGGAAATTATTGTATCTTTGTCCAGTGTGTGTAAACTCCTTGGGGAGCCCGTCCTTACTTACCCACACCAAAGCGTATTTGAACTGGCTGGCTAAGGTTCTGTGGATTCTGTGGCACTGCGGGTTAAGAAGAGACTTTCGTATTAACGCTCCGAACAGATCCATCCACATATCTAAAGCCTGTGTGTGTGTTCTGCTTACCACGTGTTCTACGCTTGCTCCTCTCCTCATGATGATGGCGTCGTTAAAGTCTGGGCGCTCTACAAAAGGACAGATACTGAATTTACTCTCTGGGGGTACGCCGTGTGTGTGTGTGTGTGTGTGTGTGTGTGTGTGTGTGTGTGTGTGTGTGTGTCAGCTGCGGCAGCCTGCTGAACGCACAGGGCGTCGCGCTCACATGTGCGTGTGTGTGCCCCAGTACCTCCTCTTTTCTTCGTGTAAATGCAGATCAGCGCCAGGTATTCCCACAACCTCTCCAGAAGGTAATCCAAGTTCAGCTTCATGCCACAGCTGGGGCACACATGTGGACAGAAACCAGAGGAAGCCGTTTAACTCCCACATGTGCAACGAAAAGCAGTGAGGAGACTTCCAAACAGCAGACAGCAAACAGCTACCCCACCTGACCACAACACTGTGGGCTCTGCGTGCCAGCCGGTCCACCTCCTCGATGGAGATCTGGTCCACCTTGTTGTACACCTGACAGCACAAAGGAAACCGGTCAGAATGCCACAAAGAGGGAGGGGCCCGGCCCAAGGCGGATAATCGTGGACATACATAAAGACAAGGCATGTAAACTCTGTTCCCCACGATCACGTCGATGAACTCGTCCGGCGTGCTGTCCTCTCTGAAGAGCACTTCTGCGTTAAAGATTTCTGAGAGCAAGGGTTAAAGAAAGCCGAGCGCACAGAGGTGAGGGCCGGCCTAAAGAAGACCTCAAAGAGGAGTATGAAGTCATTTCACTGGTCTGAAGGATACTGTATTCGTGGAGGATGAGCTGGACGAGCTTCTCTGAGCAGTGGGTGAGAGGAACCGTGGAGTTGTAGGAGAGGCCGCCTCCTTTCTTGGGCTACAGGTGATAACCAAGGGGAGCACGTTATGACGCCTGCTTTCCCACAAAAGTATCTCTTTCTGAAGTTGATAAGCTAGCTTCAACATCTTTAGCTTCCATCAGCCACCGACTGTAACTTAAAAACCTATTGGAGCCCTTCTGGCCCAACAGGGCGCATAAAGAGCGACAACGCAAGCCGTACCTTAAAATAAATATTTGGCTTTGTCCTGTTGAGCCTGATGCCCACCGACTCCAGCTCTTTCTCTAGAAGTTCCCTTGAAAGCAAAGGAAAAGGCAAAGGTGAGAGAGCTGCTGGTAGCAACAGCATTTCAGTTCATTACATCAAAACCATCAAACCCACCTCTGAACGTCTCCTTTGGTGGCGTCCAGCATCATGATGACAACATCTGCCGTTCTGGCAACGGCGATGACTTGTCGACCTCTTCCTTTCCCTATAAAAACCCCGGTGGTCAGCTCAGCCAAGCCACTGTGTGATGAGGTGACCCAAAATGTTGGAATGCGCACGTACCTTGGGCAGCGCCCTCTATGATTCCTGGCAGATCAAGCAACTGGATGTTGGCCCCCTTGTACTACAAGATGGGATTACAAAAGAAGAGATTAGTTGCTTTCAAAGCCTTTAAGAATAACCGAAAACACGAGCAGCTTTGGCTGCGTTTACCTCGATAACACCAGGTATGCAAGTGAGTGTGGTGAACTCGTAGGACGCTGCTTCACTGGCCGTTGATGTCATTAAGCTGAGAAAGGTGGACTGCACAGAGAAACAGACAATTCAGTGAAAGATTAGGAAAATCGTTTTCTTTTTCAAGCTTTTCAGGCACAACGTCTATAGCTCAAACAAATCCCCACACCGAAACCAGGAAACGCAGTCTCCACTTACCTTACCCACAGAGGGGAAACCTATGAGAGCAACTCGAGCATCTCCTGATTTCATAACATCGAAACCCTCGCCTTTGGCCCCCGCTGACTTGGAGGGTTCCAGAAGCTGGGCTCTGTATTTGGCTAACTTGGCCTTCAGCAAACCCAGATGGTACTCGGTGGCTGGAGGGGTGGACAAAAGCAATTTCATTACAGGAAAAAAGCTCAATATAAAACACTGCCGTGACTTTAAAACATCTACAACACGCTTGAGACACCTTTGTCACATTGCTCCTTTCTGATGGGCCCAGACCATGGATTGAAATATTTATTTCTTAGTAAAACAGACTGCCATCTCTTTCCAGAGTATCTCGGATTTCTGGGATTTTCCATACGCTCTACGACTGCCTCATTTTACCTTTATTTTTCTGTGTCCGAGAAATTTCTCTCTCTATTTCCGCGATTTTCTCCAGAATGCCCATAGTGGCGGTTCGGGTGGGCAGGAGTTTCTCTGTCAAAAAGGCAACATACAACAAAAACGTGTCACTCTACAGTTGTTAGCTTCGTTAGCCTCCCGGCTAACCAGCAAACTAGTTATGCAGAACAGTTCGGTAACTGCACAAAAAGGCATACAAAATATACCCGCGGCAGTCAACGAACTTTCAAATACAACACAGACGATGACAATTTGTGAGTTTTTAAAATGAATCATGTAAATCTATACTTACAGAATACTCCCTCTAAGACATGCACGTACAACCGGAAGGCGTTCCACTCCTGTCAAACGTCCGGGTAAAACAAGGGAAGTCATGCTTACGAAACTTTACCCCTTGTACTGACATAGCAACGTTTGCCGGCGACTCGACTCATTAGCCAAGGTACAGCTAGTTTAAAAATAAGAGACTATTATTCCCCTCAAAAGCGAATATCTTAATATCAACCATTGTACATTCATTATACGTTTTGGCATTGCGGGTCAGTCAGGGGTAATTAGATTTACACGGAGCGAACATGGCTGCGCCCACAGGACACAGCAAACCATCAGCTTCGTTTGAGGGTTTTCCGTTCCCAGTGGCCAGCAAACCACCCGATGACAGCTCTGGTAAAGAACAAGGGCAACCTGGAGAGGTAAAAAAGAAGCCATGTAGAGCCTGCACGGACTTTAAATCGTGGATGAAGCTGCAGAAACAGCAGACGACAGCAGTTGCACAGGTGAGATGAGGTGAAAGGCACGTCGACAGGTTGTTGGAGTTAAAATGTGAATCATGTCTCCAGAAAACAGTTTGAGTTGTTCTCCTGTGAGCTTCTGTAAGAGTGTTTGTTTTGACTATATTGGTTTCACCCACCACAATATCACCTGTCTCCCTTTCAGTTCCCCATTTGTGTGACCTTTATAATTCTCACTTCTATATTCACATGTTGATCCTGCAGGAGACCCGTGTTCTAGAAACAGAACAGCAAGAGCCACAGTGTCCACTGGACAGGGAAGAGTTGGGGCGAAGTTCATGGTCTTTCCTCCATACCATGGCAGCGTATTATCCAGATCAGCCGACGTCTGTACAGCAGCAGGAGATGGGACAGTTCATCAGCCTCTTTTCCAAGTTCTACCCATGTGAGGAATGTGCGGAAGACCTCCGGGGCAGGTCAGTGCACAGGCTGACGGTCAGGTATCAGAGCTTGCAGCAGCTTTAGTAGGTGTAAGAAGTTCTTACGCAAATGATCCTTGCAATGACTTTACATGCCTTATCCCCTTAGAGTTGCTCTTCTTTGCCCTAAGGTTTGGTTTTAGCACAAGCAGGCATACAATGATCGTTTAAAAAGGTGCCATCTCTTCTCCACAGGTTGAAAACCGATCGGCCGGACACCAGCAACCGCCACGCTCTGTCTCAGTGGCTCTGTCGCCTTCACAACAACGTCAACGTCAGGCTGGGGAAGCCTGAGTTTGACTGCTCACGTGTGGACGAGAGATGGAAAGACGGATGGAAGGATGGTTCCTGCGATTGAGCCTTTACAATGATGGGATCAAAAGTTGATGGTTGTGAACCCCCCACCCCAGGAACATCCCAGGGACCAGTTCAAAACACAACTGCCCAATTTTTTTCCCCATGTGACTAAATCCATGTTGTAAATTGTGAATAATATTTCTCTAATGGCTTTTTCTTGTTTTGTGCTCAACTTGGGAATCAAATGTAGTAATAAAATACAATTTAGATGAAAAATGTTGACGTTTTCTTCTCTTTCTCATGCTGGGCTTTAAAATGACCCGTGACACCGCTCCCAGTTTATGCAGGTTGTGGATGATATTGAATCTATTTCCATATCTAATTTTTATTTCCATTCAAAATGTACCTACTCTTCCAGACTTGGGCCTGGTTTTTCTTCATTTTCTTATTAGCTTATAATTTTTATCTTATCTGCAGTGCTGTCCCTGTCTGAGAATAGTCTCCTTTGAGAATACTACTGTTTTTGCTCTTTCTACAGTGGATATGACCACATACATTTAATATTCAGAAATATTGAGGAGATTACTGACCTTAGATGCGCAATATCAATGCAAAATACTATAATACTCAGTTGACTAGAAATATTTACCATTTGGATGACCAATTATGGATTACCTGTAAAAAAATAAAAACAGATAATATATTAGAAAACAGCACAACAAAAAAAAAAAAAACAGTTTAGCAGTTGCTCGTTTGAATGAACAAGCATGTAAATGACCTACGTTTATTTGATCTAAGATTTGCAAGCAATTGGAAATACTCGTATTTATATTATTTGCTTATACAGTTAATTTTATCTGATTTCTTCACAGTATTTTTAATTTTTTGAATACCTGTTTTCGTCGGTTCTATGAGCTGGAAGCCCAAACAAACAATAAATATTTGAAATCGTTGAAATTGTGGGCCCTGGATCTATAATCTATTATAGTGACCTTTTGCCTGGGATTATGGAAATCAAACAACTTTTCCTTGATATTCTCATTTTTTGGAAGGGGTCTGTATGTGACACAGAGCGCATCTCTCTCGTGTGATTCTCTCACCAGTCCGTGGGTGCCGCACGTTCGCCCCGTGAGCGCCCGTGAGCGCCCGCGCGCCTCTGGGAGCGCGCAGGACCCGTCCCTTCCAGCAGCGAGCAGCCAGCAGCACATCCATCCACCACATCCTGCCGTGGAGCCCGGGACCGTGGAGCCAGCAGGAGCGCACACGCACACACGCACAGCCAGAGAAGATGGACGGAGTGGGATCGTTCGGAGCAGGCCGGACCGGGTCCACGCTGGACCCGATCACGTTCGCCAAGCAGCCGCAGACCATCTTAAGAGTGTTATCCTGGGTGAGGGAGACGTTTTTTTAATTGTTTTTTTTTAACCGTACGTCTGTGTGTGTGTGTAGAGGGGGTCCTCTGCCTTGTGTTGTGTTTGCTATGCGAATCCCGTGACGTGTTCTCGGTGCAAACATGGGCTCTGAGAAATCCGTGCGCCTCCAAGCAGGGTGTGTAAAAAACGGGAAAAAATGGAGATGGTTCTCGTAAGACGAGCGCCGTGCTGCTGGGTGTCACCACGGCCCGGGGGCTCTCTGACACTGCCTTTCACTAAAGATGTTTTTTAGGGGACAGAAACCGACCCGTTGTCACCTAATAGCCAATTTCCAGATTGCACCTCGCTTCATAAACAGCGGAAGATGCGCCGCAGACCAGATTGTGTTGGGAATGAGGAGGACAGACCGAAAGCGCAGCCGCCGCATCCCCCCCCCTCCACCCTCCACCCGCAGCCTTTAATTGCCTTCGTTTACATATCCGGCTTTTATTATTACAGGCTTCACATTTGAGCCTTATTCGTATCAGTCTGTTAAATCAGCTGATGGTTTTACAGATATGCCACACACGGCCGTCGGTCGTCATCCCACCTGAGATTGGTCCTCCACCACCATTACGCACGCCTCGCCTCCGAGATGCGTCGTGCCCTCACGTTTGATGTGACGCGTCACCTTTGGGTTTCTCGGAGAAGGTCTTATTTCGGAAAAAGACCAAAGCAAATGTCACCACGACGCAGCTGTGTGTGTGTCGGTGTGTCTGTTTTGTTTGTCATTATTTAAAAAAAATCATCAGATTGTTAGATCTGCAAAAAGGGAGTACACATTCGGGGGCCATGGTACTATTGGAAATATACATCAGGTTAGACCCAAGAATTATGGGCAGTGTGTGTGCAGAAAAAAAGCCCCTACATGTTTTTCCTTTTAAAATCTGACAATAGATTCTTAAAAAAGTAAGAATTTTCTTTTCCACCCCAAAAAAGGCACAAGAAAACTGACAATTTACATCCAATTGCTAGGTAAAATACTTCAAACATACAGCATGATATGAAAAATATCTTAAAAAAGGAATAACTTTTACATGAATTTAGACTTTTATCTCTTCCAAAAGAGATGCGTTTAGTATTCCACTAAACGCCTGGACAGGGACAATAATTGGCTTAATAATGATTAATTATGATTTCATTTCTTTTTCTTTCTTTTGTTCATTTTTCTCTTTGCATTAGATCCCAGATTTTTCCTGACGCTTGTTGCTTAGTTTGAGGTAAAAACAACATAAATCGAACCAATCAGCCTCAACATTAAAGGCCACTCACAGGTGAAGAGAGTACCACCACAAAAGAGAACACAGAAACAGACAGACAGACAATCTTTCTGCTTTTGGATGATTCCCCATACTCTGAATCTACTTCTCAAGGAACGCAGAAAGCCGAGTGGGTAGGCAGGTGAAGGAGAAGAAGGAAAAGGCAGAGAAGTTGGAGAAAAGTTCCAGCTTTAGTGTGGGGATGCAGAAAGCGCCTGAGAGTGTATCTGCTCGGATTACGTCCGCTCATGTGATTAGCTTGAAAGGTGCATGTGAAGTTATCCCATTGTGTGTCCTTTCTCCATCATATGACCCAGACCCCCACCCGAGTGTGAGTGCATTGCTGCGAGTGTTTGTGTGTCACATGACCCCTTCCCTGCCGCTGAGTGTTAGTCAGCTGAGTGTGTCCGCGAGCAAGTCCAGGACAAAAGGAGGAGAAAAGACGGGAAAACGTGGGGTGGGGTTTGGACCTCAGGATGAGGAGGAGGTTAGCCGTGCTGAGGAAAGACAACAGTTGAGAATACAGACCAAACGAGGTTGGTAGATCTGGTGGTCCTGCTTTCCTCGCTGCCTCGGGGCTGTGCGGTCCTCCACGGGGGAGTCGGTCAGAAAGAAAGAGCAGAAATTAGGTTAATGCTTTCGATCTTGGCGGTTTTGAGCATCGCTCCCACGACCACGTTTCCTGAGCGTGAGCCCGCCACGCCGTCTCCGTATGCCGAAGGAAAATAAGGCCACGTCACTCCTCACGTCAGCAGCAGCTGCCTTTCAGACGGATGGTGGAACAGATCTGGAGCTCCAGGAAACCCTCATCTAGATAGAAATGACACTCAACAGGCCAAGCAACACATATGGCCCAATGACTGGCCACAGAGATATCCCACCAGCACACACGTCAGGTCACATCCTCCCTTCCATAAACCAAACCTGCCCACTCACAGATGGTTCCTAATGTCGGACCCTCTGGAAGGGAGCAGTCTCATCTATTGCCAGATGTTGAGCTAGAATTTTAAGGAATGTCAGATCTTTGCATATATGGGATACATTTATTGTGCTAAGGGATCAATCAATACCTACTGATGGTGCATTCCATGGCAAATTGAATTTTCAAATGTTATGCTTTCACAGGGATAATTTGAACAAGGCACCAGCCAAAATGAAGCAAATAGGGCTGCTGACAGTAGTAGTAGGGGGTGGAATTAATATGGGCGTGTTGAATCATTCTTCTCTGAACAGGAAGTTGGAAGAACTCACTAAAGAACACATTCTCAGACCTTTGTAGCTCAGAGTGAAAGCATTGTGTTATTTTGTTGTTGCCTTTCATGTCAGGTCTCCTTTTAAAAACAGAGAAAGAAATAGGAAAATATCAATCTTGCTATGATTTGAATATTAATGTGTGTTTTCTTAGTTAATCTCTCGTTTTATCTTCACTTTCTTCTCCTCAGTCTTTTTGTCTCCTCCTCCCATCCGCAGATCTTTTCCCTGGTGGTCTTTGCCTCCATCGTGAACGAGGGGTATGTGAACATGGGAAGTGAGCGGCTCCACTGTGTCTTCAACAAAAATGCGGATGCGTGCAACTACGGTGTGTTCATGGGCCTGGTGGGCCTGCTGGCCTGCTCATTCTTCTTCCTGGTCGACTACAAGTTCTCCTCCATCAGCTCCGTTAAAGACAGGAAGAAGGCTGTGATGTTGGAGATCGGCTTCTCGGGTGAGGAGCCGCAAACAAGCTCCGTTGCAGTTCCGGACACAAGGAAACTACAAATACAGACACATTCAGAAACCAAAGTCAAAGTGGAACTTGCCGTAAAGGCTGTAGTTCCCCAAAACAGCACAAGTGTAGCCCGGCCTGACTAGTATGGTGAGGTTCAGGACCACATCACCGAATATCAAAACCATTACTTGCTACGAAGTATTAGAGACATGAGAGTATTTTTTAGCATCTAAATGAAACATTTAGGCGAAAAGGAAATCAGCATACATGGGCTTTTGTTTTCTCCTTCAGATTCCTCCTGGCTAAGCATGGAAATAACCACGCGTTCTTTGAATGGTTTTCCTGCAGGGTCTTGGACCTTTTTGTACTTTGTAAGTTTCTGCTTCCTGGCCAACCAGTGGTCTCGGACCAAGCCTGAGGACCTGCCACTCAACCAGGGGGCCGACGCAGCTCGGGCAGCCATCGCCTTCTCTTTCTTCTCTATTATCACATGGGTAAGGGGACAAAGTCAAACGCTGTACATTCAGAAGCCTATGCATACTTATGACCCCCAAAACAGGTTTTAAAACCCATTTCAAGCAACTATGTGAACAGGATAGCACTGTCATGTGTGTGTGCAGCTAGAACCAAGAGCTGGTTGGTTTGCACGGAAACGGGGTAGAAAGATGACACTGATTCCTTTTAATGTTCATAATGTTAGCTAAAGCTTACTGATTAGCATTAGCTATGATGATTAATTTACCATCAAGTGGCCGTTTGTTACTTTTACTATTCGTACAATTCTCTCTGTTGTTCATGTTTTTTCTATTACAAAAAAAAAGACATCAAACCCGACATAGCAGAGCAGCACCTTGAATAATTTGTCTCATATTCCTCTTCTCTGCCCCCCTGTTGCCCCCATAGGCTGGTCTAACAGTCCGTGCAGTCCAGAAGTATCTGCTGGGCACAGACATGACCCTGTTCACCACTGAGCACATGGATGGGGGTGCTCCCACCCAGCCATACCCCTCCAATTCACCCGTAGGCGAGACCACCGAGACCACAGAGACCTACCAGAGCCCACCTTTCACTGAGAACAACTCAGCACCCACATACCAGGTTCCCATTTATTAGAAAAGATCGCCCTGATAGTGGAGGAGGGAATGTGGGAGAGAGTTTCACATGAGGGGAGTCTCCAGCCCTCCGCGGTTTCACTTTCAATTGCAGTCGTTTGTGTTGTCGCGGGCTGAGTTTTCAATTACTGTTCAAGAAGTGGCCTCCGCTTCTGTGTTCCTCCTCTTGGTGCCCTGCACTTTCGGAACATTCCAGCTTCACCTGAATTTTTCTAGTCCTTGCCTTTTGGAAATTCCATTTCCCCTTTGCATCAGAGCGGACGAATCAAAACTAAAAGTACAGGAGGAAAAGCAGAAGAGGAGGCCACTTCCAAGCATTCAAACGCTTTCCTTTTTTTGACAAAACAAAAACAAAAAAAAACAACTCAACCGAGTGATCCTGCAACAACAAAGCTGTTTGAAATGACTGAAGGCAGCGCAAGAGCCGCTCGCTTATGAAACCATCCAATTTCAGTATTTAAGGGGTCAAAGGTCAACCGTCGTTTCCAACCACGGCGGGGAATGTTCGTTTTCCTCCTTTAGCTGCAGCCACGGCTCCTCCCACAGTTACGGGTGATCGTTTGCGTTAAACCTGCATGTTTCCCAAACTTAGACATCAACTAAGTGCCATACTGTACTGTGTGTCTCAGACAGTGACTTAATTTAGTGGATTTCCACATGCTGTAAAAAAAATCATAAAAAAATCAAAACACAAACAAACAAACTAAAAAAAAAAAAACTGAAAATGTTTTGTGATCTAGTGCAATATCTCACGTTCTTCTCTCGGTAGGTATATGCTGTACAGTGTTAGGGTCAGACTAGTTGAACTTAAGGCGCTGTCTCAAATGACATGCCAGTTTCTGAATAGTACTAATACATCTCAGGCAAATTACGCAGGGGCTGCAAACACGAAAGCAGGCTAGATTAATTAAAGAAGCATTTCTGTGGTCTTCTCAGCGTCGTTGACCTAACCGGCCTTTGCTGCTGGAAGCGATTGTTTGTTTTGTTGTCAGGCAGTCAAAAAAAAAAAAAAAAGAGATCCGGTATGCCTCATCATCCATCCACGGTGCAAGAGAATCCACACACGCGCGTGTGTGTGTGTGTTATCTGAAACGGAGACAGTGTCCAGTGACGGGTGTCGTGTGCCCAAAGCAGGCCGAACGGGGGATATTCTGGATAAGCGATCTTCGTTTCCGTTTCCGTTCTCAAAAGCTGCCAAACTGCCCCGCGCTCTTGTCGTCGTCTTCTTATTGTCACGTTACTTTGTGGTTAATGTCGATAGGATCTTCAGGAGCCACGACAGGTGAACGTCGCTCAAGGCTGCGATGTTAGAGGATCGGGTTAAGGCTCAGGCAGAAAGAAGAAGGAAAAAAGGAGGAAAAAAAACCACCTTTATGTCAAAGATTGCTGGCTGGGAATGACTAGACCCCACCATCCTTCCTTGGATTTGGATGGGAGGGTGAGGGGTTATAATTAGTTGCCATGGTGACAGAGACGATGGATGCGGGTGAAGTGGCCGTAATGTCGAGAGTAAAGACGACCATCCATGTCAGTGAGTAGCTGTGTTTTGTGCTTTCATGTGTGTGTGTGTGTGTGTGTGTGTGTGAGAGTGAGTGAGTGTGTTCACATGCAACAAGTGCACAGGTGCACGTGGGTTAGCGCACAAGAGGGGTCTCCCCATTGTGCTGTGTGTTAGTATGAATTTGTAAGAGTGTATGTTCGGGCTGCATAAAAGTCATATTTCTCGCACCCGGATTGGTCGGCGTCTCAGCACGGACGAGGGGATCACAGGTCTACCGCAGGATGAATTATTTTCCCCAGACGCGAAAAAAGTCTTGATCCAAATGTATTATCCATGTCGCTGTGGAAAGCTGAAAGCTAGTAGATCCAGTGTGAACAATTATCTCTGCTGCAGATTAGGAAACAATCAGGACATCAACACATGACTATGTCCACTGAAATTAATTTGATGTTACACAATATTTATTATCTATTAGGATTTGCAGAACGACCCCCATAAACCATGAGTTCTCTCACCCTTTTGATCCTGGCGGTCACTCAGACGCACCCACAAAAGGGCAAATACATTAACCTTTTTCCAGAGTATCGAATGTTTCTGCTCCAAAGAACTTTAACCTACAGTTAAACCTAATCCAGTCACAGATTCCAGCTGCCAGAACTCCAGGATACAAAGAAAAATGTTAACCAACTGCCATTGTAACAAAGCAAGGATAAACACAAGTTAACTATAGAGTTGCCAGAATCACTTACCGAATTAGGCAAATTGTGGTCAATTTCATACAGTTGTTCATGGTTGTTTGCCAAGTTGACCTGAAAAACAAAATCACTCAAATCTATTTAACATCATACTTTTCTTTCTACTTTTTTGTCATTTGTTTAAAACGGAAGGATAATTCAGTGGTGTGATTTTATTTTTCGGGGAGGGGGAGTCAGGTGACTGGCCTTTAACTGGTTATGAAACACGAACATGAAGGTGTGCTGGATGGGGTACCATGCGGCCTATTTGTTGGAGTTTAACAGCCACACATTAAAGGATTAATGGAAGATGGACGGACATTTATGTTCTGGATTTAAAAAAACGTATTTTACCTGTATTTGTTGTCATTGCGGTGTGTTCCATCTAAGGACAGCAGAGTATAAATATGGCTATTCTGAAGCCAGCGACAGGAGCAATCTATTCAACAGCTAACCGGGCCGTTGAATAGATGGTGTGGAGTGCATGTAGGAATGGAAGGAAGCATTAAAAGGACATGACTTGGAAAGCCCCGGCTCACTTCGGAAGTGTCATTGACTGTAAAAAGCAACCACTGTTTGTTTAGCACGCTCATGCTCATTGGCAGCAGGGTTATGTACGCTGTAGCACTCGGCTTTTCTCAAAGCGTGCCGCGTTTACAGAGACATTTCCTCCCTTTAAAACGCATCCACTAGACCACTTAGCCAGTTTGGAGAGAGATCTATAAAATGTTCCAATGTGTTTGGTTTTGTGACCCACAATAAGTTGAATTGTGAGGAAAGAATAAACAAAACAATCGCCTCTGTAGTTAACGGCCAATCCAGGTTTCCGCCATCATAAATTGTCAGTGTTTTCTGGAATTCTGTTCATTTTGCACTTTTGGAGGAAAATTCATGAATGGCAATGCTTTGGAAAATGGCCTGTGATAATATAACAACAAGTATGACAAAGCACTAGTAGTCTCCATCGTCATCATTTGTTTGTAAGACCTTTCTTTCATTTTGTTTGTGGGAGACCGAGGTATTGCTGGCTGTATTGGGTACTATTGGGGTTTTATTATGTAGTTCTGTCAGGTCGGGCTTTGTTATTGTTCTCAGTGCTTCAGTCTTTTCTTAAGTCAGTGTGGTAGATGGAAAAATTAATAAGCGCATTCTCTGTGTTTCGTGCTCTGGCCCACGTACACTACAGTGGTGTTGGTCGATTGTAAAAATCAGTATGTTCATGAAGTAAATGGAACTCGTGTGTGATGCTGTCCAGGGTCTGGTCTGTCCTGTACTTATAAATAAAAAACAAAAAGAAAATACTATCAATGACAATTATGTATTACCTAAAATGCACTCACTTTGTTGGACATAACTTTGTGGACCGCTTGTAATGAGGGCCGAGGTCAAAGTTGTATGTGATCATTCTGTTTTGTGAGACTGAGGTAATAATAAAAAAAAGGCTGTTATATGTAGTAATGATGACACCATCCATGGTGTAGTTTAGAGTAAAATACATTGCATGGATATTAACATACCCCAGCCCCCTTAACCTCACCCCATACCGACTTAATATTGATAAGGAAAAACTGAAGAACAAGCAGACATTGATTTTGTAACGTGCTGCCCCCTTTAACATGTTTTTACTAAGTTGGTTCTTCCTGTTTGGAAGCCGTTTGGCCTCTTCAGTGTAAACTCGCTGTGTACAGAGATGTGCGTCACTGTCTATTACCTGAATGTCTCTGGACTGCAGTCTGATCGTCACTCCAATAAAAAGAAAACTTGTTTTGGACTTCCCGTGTCTGTTCATGTCATTTTTAATTTTCTTTAACAATTTTTGGAGGTTACTGAATTTAGCACTTTAGAAAATACGTGGTCAGAAAGAGAAAGAGAATTATCGTAATCTAAATCCGCATCTCAAATTAGCTTTCTTTTTGCAGCAGGAAGATTTCTAATATTATAGAAGAAATAATTAGGAATTTAAGAGTTTCCTGTGGGAGCCATAAAACAACAAAAAACAACTGACTTTTGAAGGAACCTCACCAGGCCTAAATCAAAGTGCTGCTAGCATGACTTTAAAACTGTTTAAAATCTATTGTCAATAACAATTCTCACAGATTGTTAATTATCTCATTAACAGTTAACATAATAATGCTTTTATGCAGAAAAATACAGCGTATTACTACTTGATTGGTTAGTCTTGCTAATATTGGCTAACTTGGTCAATTAGCACAACAAGCATTGCATTTGGAACTGTCAATGTTGGTGTTATTGTTAGTTCTGGTTTCCAAATTTAAAATGATATTAAACGCAACATAAATTTCCAAGCTCCCAGGAGGAAAAATAAATAAATAAGTAGAATGCCACGCTGAAAAGTAAGGAGGCTGGAAGTTTGAGAAAACCTCCCCCCCATTTGGTTTTTAAATCCAACATGGCTGCCCCACACATAAAAGTGGTGATAGAAAAGCTTGTGTCTTGGTAAATATGTGCAATAAATTATCGAGCCACAATCAGTAAACAAGTTGAGAGTGCGAAAAGTAGCCAGACTTGGTATACTCACTCAGTGTGCACAACAGAGAGCAAATACGATTGATTTTCCGTCTTCCAACTGGAACAGGGTCAACATAGTAAAAGCCTTTTCCGGCTCAGAGATGAGACTTCCGAAGTGATAAGGAACACAGTATTATTCACATTATTCTAGAAACACAACTCCAAATGGATGATAATGTTTCTCCTTGCTAACAGCTTTTCCAACTTTAAATTGTGACTGATCATGAAAAACAGAAGCATTAGCAGAGAAAATTTAGTCCGCACGTTTACTGATTAAGGTGGTATGTTTGGAGCAACAAGAAAAACAACTGAAATACATGGACCAATGTAGAAAACCTACATAATAGCTTTAAAAAATAATAATTTTCTGGATGTTGCCTGTTCCGAGGGTCATGAAAGCAATCGGAAACACATTTTCCCCTCTGTGCTTTATATCCGTTTTTTCTAACTAAAGCACTTTGCATCTAATTATTATTTTAGAACAAATTCTTCCAATCAAGCATCTTCATTCACTGGTAATTTTTTATCCGTTTTGAGCTGAATGAAGAAAAAAAAAAAAAAGAAAACTTTTCCCACTATGCACAGGTTCAATATGTGCAGTTTTTCCTCTCTGGAGAAATGTTCATTTTGGCCATCAAAAACATGTACAGCAGTGTACTAAAGCTTTGAGCCAGAACTCATGTCTCTGCATTTTAGTTTCAGGCTTTTTTTTTAAAGATTTTCAGGGCTGCCTGTACCTTCATGGGAAGTCCAAAAGGTACTTTGCTCAAGGCATGAATAAATACAGTGCCTATTCATCCACTTGGATGAGATCGATTTAAAACGTTCCATATGTTACAGTTCTTTAGAAAAAAACAACAGTCTGACACAGGACCTAAAGGATGTCCCTTTTTCTTCATTTTCATGATTTTACAAATAGAAAGGCTTGGATTTGGGGACCTGCCAGTCCTTAATTAGCTTTTGATCACTTACATTTGAATTAAGTCACCCGACTAAACACCAGAAATGTACTTGTCATACTGTCATTTTTTCCCTCAAACCATTATAAATTGTGAACTAGACTTTCTCTTTCTTCTTCATGTTGCCAAGCACTTAAAAAGCAAAAGACTTTGGTGAGTTTGTGGGGAAAAAGCACATTTCAATCCAGCTCCTGGATCCCAGGTAAATAAAAGAGTTATTCCAATGTTTTCTGCTCAGCACTGAAGATTTAACACCCCCAATAAGACAATATGGTGTGCACATATAAGTTCAATGAAGCGGTATGATGTTGACAGAAACTGTTTTATTGGAGGCAGATGGAAACCGAAGGAGCTGCTGAACAATGAGCAGACACATCATGTGGAAAAAAGTGCAAACTAAAAGGTCCTGAGTTAGAGGGGATGATATTGTGCAGGAGGTGTACCCAAAAACCCAAAGCAAACTGATTAAATGCGCCTGTCAAAGGCGGTGTGATGGAGTCAGATTAAAAAGCCGGAAATTAACTCCAAGTCAGTTTGTCTACTCTAACCAGTTACAAAGAGATGTGGAAGATCCATCTCAAAGCTGTGTGTGGTAAAACCAAAGTCGCAGCCAACTGTACCAACTTATTTTACTGCTCCTTTTTTAAAAAATCAGCTAAATCATTTAAACATCTGCGAACGCACAATCTTCTTTCGTACCTTGTTAGGCATTTGGATTTCTGTGCAACACGGAGCCCTGATGAACCAGCTCATCAACACAACAATGTCAATTTGCTGCCGAGTGACTTCAACAGAAAGATTCAGTTCATCAAGAAAAATGTGCACTGTAAACCAAAAGTTGTTCTAATAGCTTCCATTACAGTCACACCACCCCCTGACCAGGCATCTGACAATCCATCCGCCTGCGCTGTTAGCAGGCCTTCCTCTGCCTGCAGCATCAAATAAAAGTAAATGCTCAAATAAATATGGTGGAATATTAGCAGTGAACATGTTTATGTTTATTTCCTTTATTAAACAACCAGCACCGCTGGAGTTACGCCTTCTTTATCAGCCACTGTGGCCTCTGTGTCATCCGCTGTTTAAGGAAAGCCAAACAAAAACAAAAAATAAATCAGATTAATCTATGGTTTTCCTCCACTTTCTTTGAATTCTACCTTCTGATTGGACGCCGTCAGGGCGGGTGCCAGCAGGAGACATCCCCGCGGGGTGTGAGCTGAGACACGAGTTAGGATGGAGCGTCCCCCTCTTTCTGAGCTGTAGAAACCAATCAGCACGGCCCTCATCGGAGCAACCGCACCATAAACCGGGTTTCTTCGGGCTCCCTTTGGGATGCGGTGGAGCGGGAGGAGGGCTGCCGCTTTCCCTGCACTGGCTGCTGCAGCGCTGCGGGGCTTTATTACAACAGCAGGGAGGGTGGGTGAAGGGGGGGGGGGGGGGGGGGGCGGCAAAGGCAATTACGCCCCATGATGCCAAACAGCGCAGAGGAAGACTGGCGGGAGGCGGCGGGGCTAGCTAATGATGCGGCTAATTGACTGCAACGAAGGGAATTCCTCACTTTCCCTTATGTGCAGGGTCTTATGGGAGCTGAAGTCTTTGGGGGCCAGTACCTGTCTGCAGGTGGGGCACACCTGGCAGTCCAGTTCGGCGGCCGTGGCAGCGGCCGTGGCGGGCAGCTGCCAGGCGTTCTTCTTGTTCTTGTTTTTCCGTCCTCCTCCGGACTGCTTCTCCAGGGCCTTGCAGTCTCCGTGGGCGGCGAGGAGCTCCTGCTGCTTCCCCGTGTCGGGCAGGAGCACCAGCAGCTCGTTGAAGATGCGGTTGAAGTTCTCGCCCAGCAGTTCCTTACAGCTGCGGTGGTACTGGGCAGCCGATATCACACTCTGAGGCAAAAAGAAAGACAAGCGTTTGCTTTAAGCGCTCTGCACTGACGCACCATCACCGTCTGAGTGGTTTGTTATCTGCACTCATTATGCTTAATAATAGAAATATGAGAAAAAAAATTCTGCTGAGGAATGGTCATCACCTGACGAAACTGGGCCGAGTAGTTTTTGAACTGGTTGAACATGGACTCGTCGTTGTGGAGGTGCTTTCTGATGGACTGGATCAGCTCCAGGTTCCTCTGATTGAAGTCCTCTGGCACCAGGTAACCGCTGCTGGACAACTTGGGGGGTCTGGAAAAAAAACAAACAGACAAAGGCTATTAACCAGCGGGGTCCCATGCCAAGCTATAATCGCAGAGAAATTCAGAAGACCATGAGGTAAGTGCTGCTCACAGGTTGACCGCTGAGGGCGCCGGCTCCACCACGTTGCTGTTGAGGGGAATTCCAGTGAAGCCCGGGGGGGGTTTAGGGGTGGACACTCCCAATCCAGGAGGCGGTGGGGGTATTGCAGAGGGTGGCGCAGCAGTTGAGGCCTTCATTGGAAAAGCCGTCTTGAAGCCTGACAAATCAAAGCGTTTGATTCATTCATCGAGATAAATATAGTCATTATGGATGCTTAAATTGCAAAGATAATTTCCGGACTAACTGGCACTATTTTGAATCAGTACACAGCTAAATTGCATTAAGAAAAAAAAGCAGAGTGGAGTAGCCCCTCTATTGTCAAACACCAAGTTAACACCATGGTGCATTCACTGAACCATGAACATTCTCAAATGATAGAAAACAACCTTCAAACTATAGTGCTCTTAATTTTTTACCCCTCAAAAAGTATATAGTTAAGTATCTAAAGATGTAGTACGGAGTAAACTGAGCATTTCTTTGCTTCTGCGTGCACCAGTGTGAGCTCTCAGGCTATTCAGCTTTTACTCTTTTAAGGGTAATTTTGGGGGTACTGAGTAATAATGATGTTAAGAGCTAGGATTTCACCAAACCATACCAGGCTTCACATTTAAATAGTATCAGTATTCGTATTGGTCTCATGTCTGAATACAACATAATCCTGTTTACGTCACGGCTGAGTTGTACCTGGGGGGGGTTTCTTGGTCATGAGAGCGGGAAATTCTTCCTCTTGTTCTGGAGCAGGATGGGTGCTGGGCTGCGGGGTTTCTGCCACTGACTCTCTGCTGACAGCCTCGGCTGTGTCGGCGAAGCCGTTGGCTAGCCCGCCCGCCGCCGTTTCCGCCACGGCGTTGGAGAATGCTTTGCTCCACGACTTCTCTGGGACGTTCTCCTTCTGCGCCAGCGTTTTCACCGAGGCCGCGTTAGCGTTGGCGATGGCGGCGTTGGCGGTCGGCCCCGGCGCGGCGGGCGGAGACGGGGAGGAGGCGGCCGTGTTCTTCTGCTTTTTCTTCTTGTTGGCTTTGGACGAGGAGAGGTCTGTGCTGGGAGCTGGATTTGTGGAGGGGGGGGTCGGCGGCGCGGCGGCGGGTTTGCCCGCCCCTCCTTTGACGGTGAGCAGGGAGGAGATGTCCAGCATGGTGGGCACCGAGCGGAACTCCTGCTGCGTCATTCCTCCGCCCTCGTCGTCGGAAAGAGGAGGGGAGGGGCGGGAGGCGGGTTTTACACTCTCCCCGACTTTCTTTTTCCTCCGAGAGGAGGATGAAGCTGAGGAGGAGAGGGGCTGCGGGCCGGAGGAGGCCGAGGCGTGCGGCGGCGGCCGGGAGGCCGGCAGGGGCTGGGCGGCGGGCTTGGCCGCGGCAGTGTGGCCGGACCACGCCGTGGTGGTGCCCGTGGCCGGCTTGGGGGGTCGGACTCTGGAGACCAGGGCGGGGAAATCCTCATCTTGAAAAGACGAGGTCTTCCTGGGCTGCGCGGAGTACGCGGGCGTCATGGGGGCCGACACGGCCACCGCCGACAGGCTCGGGAAGTCGTCTTCCTTCAGGGCGGCGTGGACCGGTGCTGACCCTGTGGGGGCCGGCTTTACGCTGTGGACACAACGACAGTACAGATGAGACGCTTCAGCGCCAACCCCAGAAGCTGGGCCGGTTCTGTGTGCCAGGGCTTACACGGGTGGTGCGGAGGCGGTTGCTCCCAAAGCCGGAAAATCATCTTCATCCCCTGGATTTTTGCTTTTCATTGTTCTCACTGTTGAGCACAATAGAGAAATTAGGACAGCTGGAACTGATCTCTCCCCAATAAGTCAGCGACCTGAGGAGCTGAGGAGGTGTGCGACTTTTTCCCTTTTTTACCTGGAGGCTTGCCGGCGGTTTTGAGTTGTCCCGTTTGGTTCCTGGGCTCTTCCGGTTCCGTCCTCTCCGCCCTTTCCTCTCGGCAGTGCTTAGGGGCGCTCCTCTCCTGAGCTGCAGCCCTCTCCGCCTGCCCGCGCACCGCCATGGAGGCCCTCAGAGCGGCGTCCACCTGCCTGTCCTCTTCCTCTCTTTCCCTGCACGGCGAGTCAGAAAGGTCAAATACAAGGAAAGCCGGAACCTGTCGAAAGGTGGCTGCCAGACTGCCGTTAAAAGTGAGACTTTTTCTCTGTGCTGTTGCCTTGTGTACAATCCATGTGGAATGAGGTAGCCCGTTAACCCTAAATTGACTGGACAAATTAAACTGAGTTCTGACTAGATTACAATAAATGCAATTGGAGCATATTTCTATCTTTTAACTGCCTTAGCATTTTACGTTACATTCTTAAGCCCTACTCTGGCCATGTTCCAGTAGAAAATGTGCCGTCTTCAGACTGCAGGCCACTGATTGGGCAGGGAGTGATATCACGGGATGAGTCGTGAGAGCGGCTTCACAAGAATGCCCTCCCAATTGTTTCTTAAAACCCAGCAACGGCGGCCGTGTGACTTTTTCTGAGATCATCAACAGGGTGAATGGCTCCGCCTAAAGCAGCACCAAGGCCCATCTAAACAAAGCACGGGCCCCCACATGAGACGGAGGTTTGCCTTTCTTTATTTATTCTGATCTATTCAATATCTACACACATCTAACCAGACTTTCTCTATATCCATAAAGGCTTATGTGTGCCGTTAGTGTGCAGACAGGAAAAAGAATCCCCACTTACCGGGAGTACCTCCAGCTCTTCTGCCCTCCCTGAGGCCTTCCTCTTCGATTGTGCCGCGCTTCCTCATAGTCCTCGCCCGTCACCAGACCTATAAGGAGGCACAGGCTTTAATCCCGTTTGCTTCACATCCCCCAGCTACACGCAGACACCGCCGCCTTCCCCCGCACCTTCGTTCCTCCTCTGCTGTCTCGGGGCGTAGGTGAACTGCAGGTCGATGTGGCGGTTCTGCCGGGCCTCTGCGCGGTTCTTGCTGTGCGCAGCAGCTTTGTGGGCCTTGTAGTCTATCTCGCTGCGGAATGCATGGGTGAACTGCTCCGTGGCACAGCGGCCCTCCTCGCACAGGTAGTGACTCTCCCTGAAGTGGTCGCTTAAATACGGGTAATCGCTGACAGAAGAAAACGATGAAAGTTACAACACGCTGCAGGAAAAAGAAAAAACTAACCATAAGCTGGTGTTTTTTTCCCCCGATGCGTGCGTGCGTGCGTGCGTGCGTGTGTGTGAGTCTGTGTTGGGAAATGGCGGTAAACACCTGTAGTATTCCTGAGAACCATCCGCATCGCAGAAGTGGCAGAAGAAGTGGTCCCTGCGCAGGTGCTTCAGCAGCTCGTCGTTGTCCAGGTATCGGTCATCGCAGAACTTGCAGAGCGGGTGTCCTCTGTGACTCGTGTCGTCCGGGTCTCCGTGCGCTCTGTGGCGTGCCAGCTCCTTCCGGTTGTACCACTTCCGCTCGTGGGAGAAGATCTGATGAGAGCCGGGGGGGGTTTCAAGTGAACGCGAGCGTCTGCCGTTTGAAATGCATTCCCCTTAAGAGTTCTTTGTACAGGCTTTTGTTGATTTTACCTTATAATAACAATAAGTATGACCACTTTTACTTTTTATATAATCTTATTTTTAATTCAAAGTAAAGTTTCTAAAATGACACAGAGAAAAAATATTGACCCCATTTTTTCATGCCAGCACAATGGTGTCCCTGAATGCAGCTGAATAGAGCAGTGAGCTGTACATCGGCCCATCAATAAGCAACAAAAATACAGAGTGGGTGATATGCATGTACATGTGAAGACTGGAAAGGTGCCGTTGTTATCAGCTGGACCTGAACTTAAACCACATGTCTGGTTAGTTTGATACTGACTACAAAGTCACCGATGGTACAAGTGTGACCCGGATCTGATGGAGCAGGTGGGGAGAAGGTTTACCTTGAGGTGTTTTGAGCAGAGTTTGCAACAGAACAACTCGTGCTGCTTCCTCATGTGCTGCTCCAGCTCCTCAAACCTGGAGAAAACCTTAGGCTCTGGACATCGCACGCACTCCGCCAACAGAAGATGCCTTAAAAACAAAGGAGGAACGACGCAAAAAAAAAAAAAAAAAAAAAAAAAAAAACAGCTTGGCAGAGTGGAGAAGGAAAAGCTCTTAAAAAGCCCCGTTGGGGGGGGGGGGGGGGTTGGCCTCTAGGGCCAGACTTTACCACGACACCCACACACAAACGAGCTGAAAACTGCACAATCGGAACGAGTAGTCCCCCTCCCGTACCTGTACTGAGCGTGGATCTTCTCGTCACCAAAATAGATGTCGTGCTTCTTGTCACAGGGGAACTGCTGATAGGGCAGAGACTGAAAGGCCTCCAGCTTTTTCACAAACACCACCTGAGCGCACAACAGAACACAGAGGAATCGTGTGTCAGAAAATGAAGCTCTCTGTGATTTATTCAAACCGCTTTCTCCTGACAGAACGATGCTTAACATGCATATTTCTTTAGGTATGACACAACTCCTGAGCACAGTCTGCATATATTGGACAGGATTCACATCAGGAATTTGGGATGGGTATCTAAGAGAAGGGAGGGCAGCACGTTCTGTCCTTTCCACAAACTGCTTTGATGTGTTCGGGTCGACCATCTATGTTGAACATCTAATTGTGACCTTCCATCAGCTCTTTAGTTGACGGATTTAGGCAAACTACCGATCCCACAGGATGATGCTTTCATCAACTGACTTAAAAGCCAGTGCACGGCCCTTATCAAAAATATATAATAATGACTGTATTGGTTTAGGGCACCTGGAAAAGAAAACAGCAGCAACATTTAAGGGGCATTTAACCAGACCTGAAAGCCAATGAGTTGAACTGGACTTTTTAAAGATGTGTGTTTTCTAAGAGCCTTTATTAACAGATGTTACTGTCCACCAGGTTTTACATGCTTAACAGTTGTTTTAACTGTAAACTCTACAAAAATAGGCGAGTGGGCACCCCACTTATTCCCAAAGTAGTCCAACATTTCATTCAAGACAGCCGGATAGAGGCAAGTTAAACCAAAGCTCAGTGTCAGATCAAGAAACATAGATGGTGTCAGAAAAGCTGGGTCTGAAACGCTGCCGTGTGCCTATCGCTAGTTTCGAAGGCCAACTACCTGTTTAAAGGAAGGGTTGATTTGCTCGTGTTAGCATTAGCTCGCTAGGCAAATGACAGAGAGGAAATAAATAGTACCCTGAGGAGCAGGCATTCACTACCGGCCTGTATTACATTTTTCTAACATAACCTTTCAGTACTCATTCATTCGGCTCACACAGTATCACTAAACAGTTTGTCTTTTCGCCAATTATTAAACACCATGAGTTTGCGGCCTAGCTAGCACTAGCAGCCCCGAGCCCCCGGCATGCAGTAGCGGAGGCACGCGCACCCTGTCCAGCTCCTCCCGGCAGACGGCGCAGTACTTCTGGTCGCACAGCACCCGCATCTTGGTGGAGCAGCGGTAGCAAACCGGGTGGTCGCATTTCCCCAGGGCGAAGACGTCGATGTCCTGGCAGCACAGGACGCAGGTCTTCTCCGAGTCTTTCGCGGTGGCAGAATCCATGTCGGGTTCGAAAGGCACAAGTCAAGGCGTTGCACTTTGAAGGGAGAGCCGTTGTCGCCGAGGTGCTTATGTAATGACGAAAGCGTGAACTGCTGCCGGCTGCCGCGTCACGTAACGGTAGATACGGCGATCTGTAAGCCACGGGGACGGGCCCGGAGCCCCGCGCCGCCCTGGCTGTCTTTATCCCGGCGCAGGTGGGAGATCTGCGGCCGCCTTCCACGTGTGTTCTGCGGTGTGTACAGGTCTCGTGTCAAGTTCGGTCCACCTGAGACATTCTGTTTTCCCACACCGAGCTGGCGAGGCGGATCCAAAATATAACAAGTCATCCAGAAAAAGGGCAATGGCAGTTCCCCTTTAAAATGAGTTTTTAAAGTGTCTTAATTACAAAGATTGCATTTTCCACTGTCATAATAGGAAACTTTAACCTGTTTTACCATTTTAACCCCACATTTTCCACATGAAGCTTCTATGTTACGATTGACAATCCGGATCTGAAAATATCTTCTGGACATGGAAAATGTCTCCTTCCTGAAAAGATTTATTTTATTTTAGTCGTGAAAGACATATCTACTTCAAAACGACTCACTTGAATTTATGTGTAACAGATCTCCAGTAGGCCTACTATGATTTGAAACAATGCATTTTAATCAGAAAATTGAACACAAACGACCTAAAGACGCATGGAAGCTGCTCATATTGGGACCTTTCCAGAGCAGCTTCTGTTCAGCTTTGCAGGTATAACACACATGAGAGACAGACAGTACCCTATCATGAGCTGTTTTTGAATGATCCTTTTCACCACACACAACAACATGGAGGTTGTGTATGCTGAGAGGGATCAAAAGGGATTTCTGCTTCTTTTCAGTTTAGAATAGTGCTGATTTTTCTCTTTTTTCTAGAAGGGTGACAATAGGAAAACAAGCAGTAATCGTTTCTAATCAGTTTCTTCAGTTTACTTTAAATCAGTACAACACGACATCATGAAAAACACTTTTTTTTGTTAGAAAAAGCACAAAAGTAAAAGCTTGAACTGATTTATTGGATGGAATCTCTGCAGCATTAGGTAATGTTTTGAAGAGTGTTTTCAAGACAGTGACAGGTTTGCACAAAGATCAAACTCCAATCATGGGTGTGGAAGCAGATGCTTGATGCCATTCGTATCACACGGCATCGCCTTCATGTGCTAAAGTGTTCTGAACCATGTGGTGTCTTGCCAGCTAGCGCTTCATTAAGCGGCTGTTGCTCAGTCCCATTATTCTGAAAGTAAAGCTGGCAATCTTCTCGTAGAGAAGGAACATGAGGGCAGCGGTCAGCACTGTCTGCAGCAGCTTGGCCTCCAGGCCTTTGAACAGACCCAACATGCCGTACTTCCTACGACACAGACCCACATGATACATAACATATGGTTAAAAACTCTTATTAACTTTACGCTGATGCTAACAAATCGCATAAGTTAAATGTGCTAAAATGGAAACTTAGAATTAGGCAAATAAGCTTATTGGGAAACCTGGCAGTGTAATTTGTACATAAAGAACTCACCTCATTCTGTTGACCAGTAGACACTTGATCGTCTTCACACTCGTTAGTACCCTTGACTCCACAGTGGACGTTCTGAACTGACCGAACTGTGTTCGCAAAATCATAACAAAAACAATCAACTCTGTGGCTTTAAACATGCAGTCATATCACACAGACACACGCAACCCACCCTGAGTATGGACTGGATGGTTTGAAGGGGATAGGTAACAGTGGTGGCGACTGCTTTGGCAACCGCACCGATCATGAAGACCTCCACGGATGACAACTTTTGGGGGGGGGGAATAAAATTGATCACAAATCTGATTGACAGTTTTGATGTTAAAGTGTGACGCTCATCTCAGACATTTACAGAATTCAAACGCCCACATTAGCCTCTTCACTGTGACCACCAAACTGTCCATAACTGCTTCTTCTCCACAAATGCCAAAATGCATTTAGCCTGAATAAACACAGCCACACATGCCTCACCTCTAATCTGCATTTAAGTCTCCCATAAGGTCATGCGCACAGAATTACCAAGGGTCTGCCTATCTAGTGCAGTCCAGTCTCAGTCTCTCACCTCCCTGGGAACTCCCTTCCTCAGCTGCCTCTTCAGGCCTTCATAAATCATGAACTGGATGGCGGGGTTCAGCACCAGCAGCAGGGACGGAAAGGTCCCGTTCCACAGGGCTCCCACGCCCTCATCCTGGACGATCTGCACAAACGCATCTAAAATGTGATAATAATGATATTACGGTAAATAAGAATAATAATGAGAAAAAGACCTTTTAAAAAATCCAAGTACTTATCATTTACCCAGAATCCCAGAGTAGTTGGTGGGATGGATGTCTGCGCTGCGAAACTTGGAGCCCTGAAGCTTCAGCCTGGTGTTGACTACCCACAACGGTGTGGTAACTAATACGTTTACAACACCTGAAATATAAGGAAGCAAATTACTAGCTGTGGTTTGTTTCTATTTTCCCCTGCAGTTATAAAGTAATAATTAGTCCCTGAATCTGAATCATTTCGGTGTGACTGAACGTGCTAGTGGAGCTGCGAAGAATGAAAGATTGTCAGCTCACATTGTAGTCAGTGTGTGCAGCCGGCTATGAAGAGAAAGGCATCCTATTGCTCAGTCAAGGGCGATGGAATGTGAGACTCAAATCTGAGATTAGGTCCAAATCTGGATCTTTCTTGTCCCGACTAAATGAAAAAAGAATGATACGGCAATGATCATCTTACCTGCAGCTATCCCTGTGATGAGGTCGGTGCTGGGTGCCGATGGCCTCCCCTTCAGCCAGCTGGCTTTGAGGCAGTGGAAACAGTAAAAGTAGACAAAGTTGGAGCAGCACAGGCTGCAGATGACAGGGAACCATCCTCTGTAGGGAGCTAGTCTGTAAAGAAGCAGAAACATGGGATTTAGTCCACCGCTGGATAAATGATTTTTTCAATTACAGCATTTACCACTTTAAAGTTAAATTATGGGTGGATGGGTTTCAACATTTCTTTGTAGGTTGTTTGATGTCATTGTTCAAGTTTCATAAAGGAAAGCAATTTCACTCACAGTCCTTCTTCTCTGACAATGTCTGCCAGTATGGCCGGGGTTGATTTAGCCTTTCTATTTTCATCCACTGAACACACACACACGCACAATAAAAGGGATGAGAATCACAACACCTTGTTTCCATTATTTCATTGTCAAAATGAAGTTACATCCAGGCTGTGTCGTGTCTTACCCTGAAGACGAAGTCTGGCAGTATCAAGAGGGAAGAACACTGTCATAGCAGTCACACTTCCCTAAGAATCAGGTGACAGGAAAAACTAAAGCTGTATTTATTCAAACAGTAATGATTATGATATTGCCACACCAAACAGTTTAAAAAACGAATACTCCAAATGGAAAAAAGTGAGCCCTAAAATATGTCAATTTCTAAATGTTGACAAATCTTCCTGGATTTGGGGTTAATTGTTAGCCTGTATACCATTCAAAAGTATAAAAAGAACAAAAGCTCGTGTTGAAATGAACCAATTTGACACTGACTGTAACGTTGTCAATGTAAGCCGGTGTCCCATGGAGAAAGATAAATATAACGCAAACAATGAATACTGAACCAGATGCTAACTTACCACTGCTCCTGCCACGGCGTGCACCAAACTCTCGTAAGAGAAAACCTCCGAGGTCATTGTCACCCAAAGTATTTATCTTCCGAACACAAGCTGCAGGTAAACGACAAAACACTGTATGGTCACCAAGCCTTTCTGTCACTTTGCTACTTACTGGTTTGATTTGCGGTACTTGATTTCCTTGTTGTGGACTCGCACGGTGGCATTATGGGTAACGTAGTTGTTATCGCGGAAGACGCGCTGAAGGTTCAACCCCAGAGTCGTCTTTTACAAGTTACCATTTCAGTCAAATTCGCCACACGACTTCAATTTCGCTCAACTGTTTGATATGTTTTCGTTAAAAAACATAAATATAAGCATTTACACATACTTATCTTTCTCAAGGTCTTTGACCACACATATTCATTCTCCATTCTGCTTCTTTGATAGATCCAGCTCACATAAAAGCACAAACAAAGTTTGACTTTGTATGATTTTTAATTGACGTCGGTGACATACAGGCTGTATTACAGGTCAACAACCATGGGCAAAGCAAAGTCCCCTGGTTAAATTCAAGTCATCCTCACATTCACAGTGTAAAATGCCACTAAAAACAAAGAGGTTTCACTTTGAGGAGCATGTGAGATGTTACTCCAACCACTTATCAACATCAAGACTCTGAACGATTAGTGGCAGCATGATGGAATCCAGTCGTGCGTTTCTAAGAGCTTTAAAATAACCCCAACACTTAAAATAAATAAATCTTAAGCCGTGTTCGAGGAAACAGGAGACACTGATCCATGTGCTCATACGTGCATGAAATGCAGGCGGTCCCTCTGAAGGTGTGGGACGTGCTTTACATGCATTTTATGTATAGACAGCTAAACTGAATCATATACCCCTCTCTTGTCAGTCTCCAGCCCATTCACTCAGCCAGTCCTGGCAAGCCCTTCTTTGTTCCTCACTTTCCTCAATCCTCTGGCTCTTTCTTTGCTTCCTCCTCTCCTCATTTTTTCTAGCCTGCTTTTGTTCCTCCTCTTTAGCTTTCCTGTGCTCCAACAGGGCCTCTACAGTGGCTGCCAGTGTCCGTAGCGAGCGGTGTGGGAGCCATTTAGGATCGACCGTGGGGATGAAGGGGTCATCGGCCATGACCAGGAGGTGCTGGGGTTCAAGAGGAATGTGAAGGAGGTAAGCATGCAGCATCATTCGGTACGGAGAGTCGTCTGTTCCCAGACTGTAGGTGAAGTCTCCCACGACTGGATGGCCGATGGCACAGCAGTGGACCCTTAACTGGTGAGTTCGGCCTGAGGGCAGCCACAAGGGAAGATGTCTTACAAACTGTGCTATGGCATTTTCACACTAAACAGAAGGCTCCTCATTTTTAGCACTCGTTATTTTGGTGTGGGTGAAATGTTGCAACACTGGGAAAGATTAAAAGCACTGTCCTTTAATTTTCTCCTAATTTAAGGGACTAAATGGGTGGAATTACCAGTCAGTGGCTGCAGCAGCACCTTGGTGACAGGTTTCCCGTCATAAAACCCATACTCCAACACTGTCAGCTCGGTCTGACAAGGCTTTGGATTCTCACAACCTGACCAGAACACACAGGATATAAATACAACGCAAAATGCTCTGCCTTTGCTTGAGCAAATAGCAATAAACTGACAACATTTTCCAATTATTGGCCACTTATCTGTTGCCTGAATGCAAACAGTCCAAAGCCACTCTTTGTTTATATACCTTCTGTTCCCTCTACGCACATCATATGTGTTTTTCCCTCGGTGGAGCTCTTGCCGATGGAGAAGTTCAAAGTCTGTGTCTCTTGCTCAACCCACCCACGAACCTGGGAAGAAAAAACAAACCAACATGTCTAACCTGTGTCTAATGTCAAACACACAAGACAACAGATCTGACTTAGTTTTTGCATTTTGACACCAGCAGTGGGGTACAAATCTCTTTGTTTAAGCCGCCTGCTGCATGCATGGGACATACTGTACCAGGGAGAGGTAGGCTTTGGTGACAGTGCGGTCCTTGAAGCAGCGGTAGGCCCGGCCCGCAGCAGCCTTGTTCAGGGCCACGCAGAGAGCTCCGCTGGTGGAGAAGTCCAACTGGTGACAGAACCTGAGGAAGACCACCGCTAAACGGTAAGACCGCTGCTCTTTTCGTGAGCCAGACTGTACCGTTCCCCGGCAGATTCATTCACCTAAATCCGTAGTAGGTGCTGGGGTCTGCCAGATGGGGGAAGCGGTGCTGCAGCTGCGCCTGCACCGTCTGTTTCTCATACCACATCTTGCTGTCGATACGGATGTCCCAGTGTTTGTCCACCACTATGTAGTTGTCACTCTGGTACAGCACCCTCAGGCTCTCCAGGCTGGCAGGCTCTGTGGTCATCCTGAGTAGCTTTTCGACTGACAGCTGACACAGCCCTGCAAGGAAATGGCACCTGATACTCAGAACATTATGAGAAGTTTAAAGTTCATAATCCTGTTTTTTAAGCATCCTCTCTTAATTTAAAAAAGCAATGCAAATACTTCAACCGGAACAATTCAGGCGGTGCGAAAACCTTTAAGTCCTCCCGCCCAAAAAACTAAAAGAAAATATCTTATTATTTGGAGAAGCTGGAAGTTAAAGTAACTACAAAGGGTCACTGCAGTCTGAACGTGCTGTCATGTAAAATGCTGGTCTGACCAAAGCTACGTATTCGAAATGCAAGGAAAAGAAAAATAATAAGGGCCGACAAGGGAGCAAATAAGATTGGAACGTAAAGCACTACTTTAACTGAGAGTTGGTTTAGTTAGTACAGCTATTTATTAAGGTACCATTTTCTTCTTCGTGGGTTTTCTTGGAGGTTTACAAAACATAAGTTAGCATTAAATATGTCGATTTGTTTACTACATTAAAACCCATAGAAAACCGTGGTTATTTTGTATAATACATGGTAATATACATGCAAAATGTTTTCCTTGAATTTGAAGTGTTAGTCTTACAGCTTGAAGTCACATAAACATTTATCATATTTTTCAGCCCATGTACCCAAATCTAATTCGTGACGTTAGCTTTTATTTTTCCTCATTCGTTTGTGCCAAAGAACAAACAACATCTGCACCGTGGTATCCTCCTACTTATCGCTGCCTCAGCTCAGAAAATAATTCTCGATTTAGTGACAGTAAAGGATAAACTGAGATGTCATTTTTCACTTATCTCAGTACTGGAGGTTTGCTAGCTGCTCCATAAACTAAACTAAAACGCTTAATTAAGTCAGTTTTTACCTGGAACTTTAACTGCACAATTAATTGAATCCCAGACTAAAGAACAACAAAAAAGGGACAGTAGGAAACTTACCAAAAATGAACAACGACTACGTTCTACCGAAAATGTAAACACGATCACATTTCATTTACTGACAGAGCGCATGAGTGAAATCTTCTTTGACGATTTCTCAGGTTTGGCAAAAGAAGGCATTACCGCCCCCACCTGGTGAGTCAGGGGAATTGTCTTCGTTCGAGCATTTACCAGCACTTTTTTTTCAGAAGGATCTTTTTGTCTTTGTTTGGTTTGACCTCCTACAGTCGCATCTCTAGTATATTTACACACACTGAATAAGGCCTCCACTAATAATAATATGTGATTCCTAATCCCTTAAGATTGTTTGCTATTAACATATTGATATGAGTGGATTTGTTTTCAGAAATACAGAATTTATTCCCAGCAGTGGTTGAATGTGGTCAAAACCAGTAGTTGCAAAAAATGCTCTATTTAAAGTGACTCCTTTCATTTTCAAGCCACCTTGAATTTTTAAGGTATAGAATACATTAAAAGAATGAAGAGATCTGACAATTCTGTGCACCGCTTTACAAAAAATAAGTTTAAACCAAAATTGCCCCAAATTTTGCATGGTCATTGACATTTGACAGGTTTGTGTCACAATTCAGCAAGTTGAATAAATGTTAAAGGATACATTTTGAACAAAGGTAGTGCTTAAAGAGGCTCTCTGGTTCAATGACAATGAGTGGGTAAACAATCCTTATGTGACGTCAGTGGTTCTCATGGTGTTTATTATCCCAGCTGAGGTCAAATAGCTAGAAATTACAACTATACAGTCATGGCTGTCTGCACAAAATCCAGTGAGAGAACGTCCATCTGGTTTCTACTTAAGCTCTCAGGACAAATGCTAATCATTTCCCCACAAGGTTTGACCTTGCATGGTCCTAAGCCAATACATACACCAGCTCTTCTGGTCAGTAATCCTCAAACACAGCCAGGTATGAGCGTTTTTTCAAAGCTAAGATGATTATGACTTATTATATAATTCATTTTTCATAATACAATCTGTTCCAGTTTTGAGCACTCAGGTTATATTTTTGTTATTGAATTTTTGCCTTTTGTTACATAACATCTCACTGAGCCGGGCGGTAGATTTGCTTACCTGAGAACGCACCGAGGAGAAAGCTGTGCACAACGCGCCCGTTGTTGCAGCGGCAAACATTTCCGTCAGAACATCAAAGGAGAGGATGAACACAAGCGACTCTAATCTTGCAAGTGCTGCAGAAGAATCCAGGTATTCCTAATGTTCTACAGTGATTAGGATAGATACATTTTATGTAGTTTAACCTTGTTTGAAAATGGGATTGCGAGTGGGAAGTTTTTCACCTTTCTCCTTTTCTGTTCAATGAAGGTAGGCCTGGATACTCTGGACGAGGCTGACTCCAACACCAACCTACTCCATCATTTGAAGGCTCCTTTTAAATTTTTTCAAGTTTTCCAAGGCTTGGTGAGGAATTTAAAATTTAAACTGCCGTTTTGTCAAGTTTCCCCCTGAAACCGTTAGGCCAAGTCTCTTCGACTTCGGGTGGATTTCAGTAGCCGCTGAACAAAGGGACATCATTATTTCAGGTTCCTTTGACTCGTTTGAGCTAAATTAAGGCCAAATCTTTAATTGGTGAAGATCCTGTCCACCATGCATAATAATTCGTTCATGCAGGCTCGCTGTAACGAGCCTTTAATGAGTGCAGACTGTGGCTGTTTCCTGCTGCTGGCCCTGCTGCTCCTGGCTCTGCTCTACTCTTTCCTGTACCTGCCGGCACAGGCCCAGCGAGCCCTGCTGGAGCAGGCACTCCGGAGCAACAACACCACTGCCATGACCAACAAATGAGCTGGACAGATGGACGCACTGACGGACGCTTCAGTGGACAAACAGAGACGACTCTCCCGCACACCGTCCTTTCAAAATCAGAGTTCGTAATCTTCCATCTCGTGTTTACTTGATTATTTCTGCTGTTTGCATTTAGCTTTCGTAGACTAGAAGTTCTTTTAACAGGGGAAGGAAGAGCCTTGAATGGGATACTCCTGGTTATATTTGACTCAAACTTGCAGACAGGCGGAAGGAGACAGCGTGATGATGAATTGGTTGGTTAATTGGTTCAGTAGTATAACGTAGTATTGCTTTTGTTTTTGTAATCTCACAAAACAAAATTAAACAAAATGTCTATTTAACTAGCAGTGGTGAGACGGCATCTTTCCCTCTTTTGGGTATGATAACAAATCCTCCCAAAATAGTTGAAAATGTGAGGAAAACCTTTCTGTTTTACCTGTGAAATGAAGGGTTTAAAGCAAAAAATCCTTGTCGGTCTGGCAGGTCATTAACAGACACGTACAAACAATTAACTAAGTAAGCAAATGCACGGGTCCATTTCTCTGTTTGTTCTTGTAAAAACGAATTTAATGAATAAATACCTTAATCAAGTTTGTGTTGTGTGTATTCTTTAAAGAATGAATCTACTGAATCCTTGATTTGTTTAGTTGTACTTATCTTTTGAAAATATCGAGTTACTATTTCATAACTGTCTCTTGCAAGGGTCCAGTCTTTTCAATTACACAAGAACACAAGAACAAGAGCAAATGAATAGAAAGGGGAACCAATATGTCTTCAGAAAATACTCTTTTTGTTTGTTTGTTTTTTGCTATTGTACAGATTTTCTGTTTCTTAACAAAAAAAGAGGGTGTTTCCAGCATTTCTGTCCAGTAATAGCTTTAAAGTTTTGTTGTGTGGCGAAAAAGTTTAGATTTTGTTCGATACTTTTAAAAAAATTCTTCTTCGTCTGTTTTTTCTTGTTCTTCTTCCAGTAAGACAACTACTGGTGGTTTCAAATACCTTTATTAAACGATACAGGATACTAGAGTAGACACCAACATTTGGAGATGCAGCACTGACCGGGTAGTTACAGGCTGAGGCGGGAGATACAGACAGCTCTTTCAGGCTTTCTGTGCCTTTAAAACTGTCCCTGTAAACACTGTATCTGCAGTCGCTTACATCTGGATGTGTGTCAGTACTTTATCTATTTTTTCTCTCAAGTCACATTAAGTTTAAGATTAAAGTTGGGAAAAAAAAAGAAAGAAAGAATCTTGCTAAACCATGCAACACCCAACAAGCCTACATTTACAGTTTGTCTGAGACCACAACGATTCACCCAAATGGTACTTCAGTGTTCAATATGTTCAGCAACAATGACAATAGCATATCCAAAGACTTAGCACAGTAATTGTATTTCTTACTTTTTAAAAGGAATATCCATTTATCCCTTCGCATACCCCTCTGCCAGCCCTTCAGTATCTTCTGTCTTCAGAGCAGAATTTCATTCACACCATTGTGTCCTTGGTATAAGAGAGAAGTTAAGAAAGCTTGTTTTGTTCATCTGTTTCAGAATGACTAGTATCAAATCCGGAAGGACATACATGCATTTCTTTCTACAATATACACAGTTCAGTTAGAGCTGATCACTGATGAGCTCTCTTGAAAACTGCCACAGAAACTTTGGGGAAAAAATTGAGCTTTTAAACCACAAGGAACTGTCAAGAAAATTTGCGAATTCTGTAATAGTTGTTGTTCCTTTAAGTTAAACCTCTTTCCACGCTGGCTTATTAGTAGTCTAGAAATAAAACATTTTGACCTTTGTTTTAAGGTTTAAATATTCTGTTCTATTCAGAAATGATGTATGGTAGCTGAAGAGGGGGTGTGAAAACTGAGAATTTAGTCGAGAACCAAAGCTGTTTATATGAAATAAATTCACCCACTGGTTCCTGGCAGATGGGAAAGCGACATCCTGTATATGAGCCAAAAGAAATATTGAAGCAATTGAGCTCATGAAATATTAATGTGCCCCCCTTTCCTACTCAACCATAAAATGCCTCAAGGTTTTCCTTAAACTAAGAGTGCGATGATGCCGTTAACTCAGTGAGCTTCAGCAGATTGGGAGAGTTTGTCTTTGAGGAGCACCCACTCACGCACAGGCAGCTTTCCTTGGTTTACTTTTTAACAGAAGCTGCAAGAAGCACCTCCCCCCATGTTTTTTCTGCTCTGTTCTTCGTGCATTCATTTACAGCTATGTCCTCAACCCGTACGTGGCCCAGTCTGCCACAGAGGGGCCGAATCTCCAGAGCATTTATGCACAGTTGTCCAGTACCCTTTTAAAACTAATGTTCCCACATTCCTTGTTGGTACTCTTTACCTTTTTCCTTCTCTATGAGAATATAGTCAAAATGAAAAGTAATAATGCCTGTGGCATCTTTGTATAACGTCTCCTTTGGTACGTCAAACTGACCAAACTTTCAATGACCGTCTGTGTGACATGATAGGTAGGAAGGGATGGAAAACCTGAAAGGAAAATACTCATAATGGATGAAAAACCCAGAGGGAAAAGGTAGAGAGACGGGTGTTCACTTCTCTAGTACGAATAGAAATTAATTAATGAAAAGAAAGTAGGGAAAATAGCTAAAGATGGAAGACAGGGTGGGTTAGAGCTTCCCGTCTCGGCCTGGGCATGCAAAGGCTGCCCTTGAGGGACTGGAAGGAGGAGGGAGTACAGAGGGACAGGACGAGAGGGCATGAAGAGCAGGAGGGAAAGAAGAGAGGAGACTATACATTATCTCTCTCACACACTCTGTTAATTCCAGTCCTTGCTGATGTTGAGGTTCCACTCCCAGGATAAATAGGCATTCTTGTCGTCATCGGTGAAACAGGACTTGATTAGATACTGGCCACGAGACATCACGCCTTTGGGCGCCTCTTCGGCTGGGCACAGAAACTCCTGCTCCTCCGCCCGCGGGGCATAACTTCCCACCATGCACACCACCTTGTTCACTGAGGGCAGACACAGAAATCCCCTCCTTTTATTATGTCTTGAAAACCTGTGCAATCATCTCAAATGTGTGACTCTTCAAATATGCATCATTGCCTGTAAACCCAACATACCTCTTACTCCTTTTCTGTAAGTCACATGACGGTACTTCAGGCCAGAAACTATTTCTCTGTTCACCTGCAAACAAATTCACACTGTTTAATCATCTGTTTTTTTTATTCTTCTGATACACAGCTCTTCAAGACTCAGTCCAGAACAGAAGGATTCAGGAATCTGCATGGACAGCATTTGTCCAGCAGGTGTCCTTAGAGCACAGCAGAGCCCGTGCTACTCGTTCATTCTTCTTCATTCCTTGATCTTCAGTTTTATTCTTTGCCAGATAATTTAATTCCCACTTTTGAGAGTCACAGACACTGATATACCCATATTTTCAATATGCAGATAGATTCGTCTTATTGTAAGCAATACTGGAGCAATCGTCTTGCTTTAATCAATTTTATTCCAGTTTTATCACATAAGGCTTGGAAATGTATTTCCTGAATTTGAATTGAACTAGTTTAACATCTAGAGGAACTTCAAAAATATTCATGAGGATCAAATACACAATAAAGAATCAGCAACCATTCAGCAAGTTTTGATGATCAACTACAACTAAACCCTAATTTGTCAGCTATGTGATCATGAGTGTGTGTGTGCTTAAGAAGACTTAAAAAGTGACATACTCAATATTTATCCACCATTTAGAACAAAATGATTGCCTGTTTTAGTGGCTTCTGGATATTGAGGATAAACAGAAGCAGCTTCCAAATGCACATGCCTCACAGGGGATCTTAATATCCCAATACACACTGAGGCCGCTCATTAGACTGGCAGGACACCAGAAACCAGTGACACCAGTCTCTCTCTGACAGACTGAACACCAACCGCTCCAAGCTGCAGAAATAAGCTGTGAAAAACTGTTTCTTAACTGTTCAAGGAGGGATCTTTCAATATTTGACCTGGTGATCTTGTTATTGTAAGGGAAGTATTGAGTTTTTTCAGTGCGTTTATCTTTTCCATAACATGTAGTGGACATCAATTTAAAAAAGAAAAAGACTCAAATGGAGAGACGGACTGATGAAGCAGGGCAATTGAGAGTCAGAACAGTTTTGAAGGACACGAGGGAAAAAGTTAACATCACAAATTCAGCTACAAAAGTCAATTAAATGAAAAAAAAAACTCACACAGCTCACACTGATCCACTCAGGTTCAGTGCAAAATCAATCACTCTCTTTTCTGATTATACTTTACATAAACGTTGTGACTCTGGCTTACTTTAAAGTGAATCTTTAGCCTGTATTTCACTCCATCCTGTAAGGTGAAGCTCTTCTCCTTCAGCACGCTCAGGTCTCCTGCACAAAGATACAGCAAATATATGGCAAATTTACAGCAAATATACAGCACAAGTATCACAAACAGTACATGCATGGCTGACTCCAGATGATGGTGATGCAAAACATGTCAGTCAGATATGGCTAGAAGTGATTTCATCAGCTTTTTTTGATTGTTGTTTGTTTGATAAAACTAAATAAATGGAATGTATATAGCATTGACAGCCTGGTTTTGATGTGTAGGGTGACAATAGGTTTATACTGCAGGGGCACAAGGCTTCTTGGACAAAAGCACACAGCAATCAGAAATGCATCCACTGTCTAATTACTTTATACGTCGATTTAAAGCCAACCATCCATCCTGAGTGCTCCATAATGGACAGAGGAAGGAAAGGAGGAGGAGATAGAGGACAGATAAAGGACTGGGTTGAATAAAAAAAAAACAGACAGTGATGAGAAGAGAGGCGGATATGAGATATAAGAGAAAGCATGAACTGTGCGTGGAGCACAAAGCTCATTCAGAGCTGCACCATGAGGGAGCACACTCGGTGGAACCATATGTAAATATTCTTTGTTTGTGTAAACCGGTAAGGAAAAAGGAGAAAGTTAAGCAACCCAACCTGAAGTGTGCAGAGAATGCCAAAACAAAATCCTGTGGATTTGTACGACCTACATCTTTTTTTTTTCATTTCGTAACCATAATAAAAACACTGTTTGATCAAATAAAATATGTTGCTCAGTAGCTGGCATTTTGGGAATTCATCCACTGCTCAATCTCTATTTCTGTCTCCTTTAATTCGACCTGTCTGCCCCAGAGAACCACAGTACGGTACTCCTATCTTCCTTTCCCGACCGATTCGTCTCCTCTTCTGCTTTCTCTCATCTCGGGAGACTGACAAAAGAGAAACGAGGCTGGACTCTCCCGGGCACGTCTGATGGGGAAAATTGGACGGAGCTGTCTATCTGTTCTTGCACATGCACACACAGACACAAAGGAACAACTCCCTTAATACGCACGATTTCCAGTTGGTGCTTGCAGAACAGCTAAGAAAAAAAGCAAATAATGATAATAATAATACATTAGTCTAGCATAAATGTCCCATACTTGAGTAATCTGTTCAACTAAAAGACACGATCCTCTTGTCTTATATTCATTTGGGTTGCACAGTGACACAAGAATTGCGTTTCACTAAAATGATGGCTCCGTTTACCTGTATTGCAGATTGAACTCCCTGAATGTTCATAGCTAAATCAACTGCTGAGATAGAGCTTCTAGATTAGAGGAGCCTCTAATGTTTTAGCCTGATACTAAGACCACCCATCGAACAGCATCAAAACCTCTCAGTTGGTAAAATGTGGGCTGACTTCCCACACAAAATACTTTCCAAGGCACACTCTTCAAAATGTCAAAATCCTCACAATCTATGTATAAGAATAATTTGAAATGAACAATGTATTAACACCAAACGTTTAAATGTCGTATGGAACGTGGACGTTTAACAAAGCCACTGCTTGGATTATGAGCAGTAAAACACATGGGGCCGTGATATACCTTTTATTACACATGATTCAGGACAATTGCATGTTGTTAAATGTACAAACATGCTGTAATATCTTATTCAGACTGTTGGAAACAGAATCCTCTTATTTAATCTCCTCAAATGGCTGCACAGGTACAGATCCAGTGAGTAGTTGAAAGGCAATCGTCTGCAGGGGATTTTTTAAGCAGAGAGGCATGTAGCAAAAAGGAGACAAACCTAGTAAATGGTGGGGTTCAGTTCCATGTTTATTTCAGTGGATTGATGGGGATGAAAAGGTTGGAATGGAAACATGGATTGATTTCATTGCAGCAAGTTCTGGAAGGGATTGTCACGCTCTCAAAAACAGAGGTGATGATTAGAAAAGGGGAGGGATATTTTAACATGATAATAATCCCACATGCATCTCCTAAATGTTGCAGTTGGTGCAAGCATAAGGTTTTGCGATTCCCTACATAATAATCTGTCACTGAAAAAAAATCAGCATTTAATCTTTATTCTAAGACATTAAAAAAAACGCACAAACATGATTTGTCCTCTGGCACGATCTGTTTGCACTCCTCAGCACAAAATTCATGTTCTCCTAAGGGTGAGTGGACCACAGAGCTAATGCTCCGAGCAGCTGGCCGCTTTCCACCACTCTTGTTGTGACACAGGCTCAGCGGCTTGATGTGTGTGAGAGAGAGAGTTCACGGCCTCTGAGCGCAGGAGGGAGCTGCTATGATCTGAGAGGTTCAGCCTGAAACACAGACTTGCACCCGAGCAGAAGCCGAAAGGGTCTCCAGTGGGACGACAGCCCGGGCTTGAGTGTCTGCTTTCTCCACTCAGGTGCTAAGAGCGCAGAGCGAAAGGCGCCTGGCCCTGTTTCGCCACCCTCTCCTCCCCTCTCGCTCCCGTTACAGTAACACCGACGTAACGCACCACGCTGCAGGCCCTGCAGTCTATAATGGGGTCTCTAATGCATTCAGCCTCCAATGGAAAGTCCATTTTGCATCCAGTCCGGCAGACTCAGCTTTCTGACTGCAACGCGATACGACAGCCAGTCAGATTCTGACAGCAGATTTATGTTGGAGGACGTGTTTCTCTCACTCCGTGTTCGGCTGTGCATTCGGTTACTCAGTTCAACGGATTCACATTTTGTGTTTAACTAAAATGATCAGATACTAAAGTGATTCAAAAACTATCAAGCAATCCAAGTCCTTTTTACAAGAAGCAATGCTTTGGCAGAACCAAACTCAGCTTGGGGTTAAGAGGAGAAAAAAGGGGGATGATAAGCACCACAACAGAAGACCAGGGGGGACTACTTTGAGCACAGAAAATCATATTCTGTTGTTAATGCTGAGTATTTCCTCTGTCATCATCCATAAAGAGTTGTTGTTGTGGTGTGGAAAATGAACAGTAAAGATCAAAGCCCAGTTTAAACATAGAAATAAATAACAGTAACCCAGTAACACAGACAGGGATGCCTGGATCCAATAAAATGGATCATGAATTTACTTTAAAAGCTGCTTGTGTTTAATCCTGAATACATTTCGGTCTAAACTTGAGCGTCTGCACCATTGCCATGCCAACACATGCTGGGAGCTTCCACATTTAAAAGCCAGCGCGCAGGCTGGGTGCTCCGTTTAGATCTAGAAACCATGGCGCTGCTGCCTGCCGGCTGACCTGTCAGATGACCGACACCCAAACGGCTCACGGTGCAACATCTAACTGGACATCAGGGATACCCGTGGAGTAAAGTAGAGAACATGGGACGAAGGTCTGTAGTGAAATAATGGATGGCAGTGATAACAGGCGAGCAAAACCACCACCAAACATGGCACACAGACTCAAAGATACTTCCTCCAATGACTTGCTGACCGTTTTGTGAGGCCAAAAGTAATCAAACGGACAACGACGGGCTCCATGAAGTGATGTCCAAATGGACTGTGTTCTCCAGTCACAGCCCTGGCGAGCTCACTTTATTCAGAAACTTCATATCATTCACTTTTTTATGGTCTGGCTCTGGCTGAGCGGCTAACAGCACACATATCCGTGATGTGACGAGCTCAGGAGGCAGATTTATTGCTGCCTCACTCAGACTTAAAAGGCTGGTTGATGCTTTGGTTCGCTCTGGGCTTTCTATCAGAGAAAACCAGACCGTGCAAAGTCAGCATCGCCTAGCAACCAGGTGACCTTTCCCATCAGCAGCCAGTGACTGTGTCTTTTCCTGTGCGAATGTGCGTAAAAGTGGAACTGCTATTGTAACAGGGGGTATCCTCTCACAGAGGGGGAAAAAAACAGGTTATTCTTTATGTAGGAGAATATGGGAGAGCAGCACAAACACAAGCTGTAAAACTACCTCTCTCCCTGTGCACAAATGTGATTCAAGCCTTTCTCTGACGATTTTGTGCAATGCAGACACACATCTGATCTAACAGACAGTTTTCCCTCTCAGAAACATCGGCAATGCCTCCACAGCATCCCTGCGCACACCTACTCTCAATACAGGTTGGGATTCACATTTTGGAGAAGATTCGCCGAAAGCAGGAAAGAAGACTTTAGTTGTACCTGTGAGGTCCATGCTGAGGGGTTCAGGAGCATCCTCACACAGCAGGGTCAGCCTGGTCACACTGACATTAGGTCCTGAGAGGTCTGGGGGCAGAGAGATAACACTTTAACAAAGAATTTGCAGATTTGATCATCTCTACCTACTCTCATTCATGCGTTCGCATATTTTGGTTTGATATTTGATGAAACAGTTCCATTTATGGCATCTGTTCAGGACAGAACTGGGAAACATTAATTTCAAATTATGATTGGAATTAATCAAAGGGTTGTTCAAACCGAGGAATTTTACTGAATAAGACACTATTAACACAGAATGCTGTGTCAAATTCTTTCTCTTTCTGACTGCCATTCAACACTGCATGATACTGCTATAAGCATGAAGTATGCATAACTAGAAATAAAAATGTGGTGAAAAGAATGTGTGGGAAATCCTCATGAGCTTTATTCTCATTATATCACGGTTCCCTCCTTCTGTTCCCCCTATCCCACACTGTCAGATTCACCTCATACCTCATATGTAATCCACCTCTTTCGACAATCCACTTATTTCCCAATTCCACCTTTATCTGATGCCCAGGAGGCCTTCCTGAGGTTTCTGCCTCCTTATCTCAGCTCCAGCTCCAGTATTTGGACTCCAGGGGTGCTGTCTGCTCCCCAGCTGCAGAAACCCTTCGCTCAGCATGACGTCTAAACTGGAGTCCAAATGCCAAACTCTGCTCTAATTCTGTACGTCGCCTTTTCTCCTCCTTCTCTCAATACTGAGCTTCATTGCTCTGAGTTAATCCTGAACTCTCTTGGACAAGCTTTCTTGTAATTACTTGAAGCGTTCTTCAAGCGTTGGTCCTCTTTGGTTTGTCTTTGGATGTTGGCTGCCTTGTTTTCCGTTCTCTGTCAGAAGATCCAGGTCCAGGCTCTGAGAATGATTCTCTCCCTCCATAAGATTGTTGGCATTGACTTGTAAACAATTCACTGTGATGCCTGGCATAGTTCAGCTTTCTCTCACTGTTTTACTTCCTTAAAAATGACTTCTTCTTGCTCAGCCACCCTTCCATTGAGACCGTTTCTGATGAGGCCTTGGGCAGCAGTAAATGGATCAACTTATTGAATGGGAGTATTTCTCAGGCATCGTTTCAAGGCTTTGGTGAGTTTTTTTTTCTTTTCGTGCTTCTGATTTATTCGAGTCGTTTTTCAAACTTACGACAAATCTGTTGTTTTTTGTTTGTTTTCTTTTTTTTGCTTAAATTTCCTGCCTACAGGTTTTTGCAAATCCCTTTGTGATTGCTCACTGGACCCTACTTCTTGCACGGTGTCTGCTGGGAGAAGCCCCCCCCCTTCACAGAAAATGAATGAAATAATAAAAGTTCCATGAGACAACCTGAATAACTAGTCCTCAATTTCACTTGGGGAAAATGCAAAAACACACAGCTGCATGGAGGCAATTAATTTGCACAATACTGCAAAGGAATTGCTCATTTGGATTGAGCTAAAAGATTCTTCTTCCCACCGCAATGATCACGCACAGAGATTCAACATCTCAGATTGGATTTACATTTTCTGTTGAACAATAAGGTCTCCCCTCCTCCCTCTGCATTGCCATAAGCTCATTGCAGCCCATTCCAGTGAATTTAGTCTCACTACGCTGGAGGTGAGGTGGTGTTGACTCACAGCAGTGAGGAACACAGAGCTGTTTTACTTCTGTCGGCTGTCACTGGCCGGCTGCTGGATTAAAGATGCTTAGGGCAGCAGGTCTGGTGCAGTCAGTGACTTATGCACCGTCGTTATAGCGGGCGAATATTATTATCATTATTTAATCGGCAGTAATACAGACGATTCAATAAACTGTGGGTGAATTGTCACCTCTTCCACAGGTAATCAAACCCATACACACACACACACACAGACACACACACACACCGGCTGTGATTGCTTCTGGTCCCAGCAGGGTCTGCTTGTACTTCACCAGACTTTCATCATCTTTGTCCAGTTCCTGAATCTCCTGGAGAGACTTCTGAGCGGGAGGGTTGTAGTTGAGGTTCCGCTCGTCCTCTTCCTCCTCGGCAGGCAAATCGTTCTTATCAGCCAGCAGACCTTCAAGAGGGATGGGAGGAGGCGGTTTAATATTCACATCATTATAGTTATGAAACACAGCAGACATTCCGCGACAGAGATATTTTGCTTTGAAAAAAAAAACTAAGAAACTAAAAAGGCAATGACAAAAATCTGGAGGGTGTAACAAGAGGCATTTTGCTCTATGCAAGAAACCTCCAGCCATCCGGGTTTGATTTCATCAGGGATTTTTGATTCAATATTAAATCTCCCAGACGTTCGACAATGTGCTCTGCAAGCCCAAATGCAATTTCAGCGTCCCCCCCCCCCCCATCATCTGTACCCCCGGAGAGTGAAAACTTGCAGACCGTAGTAGTTAGATAATTGGAGGGATTTGGCCAGATGAAACCTTGTTCTGCTGTCACGACAGCAGTGGCTTTTTGTGATAACTGGTTGGCTACAATAGTTTCTGTATCTGTCAATGAGGGGCAAGAATAACTACAACAGCATCAGGGGAAAAAAAGGGGGAAAAAAGGTGTGACGCTTGATCAAAACTCATCACAGATTCCAGACACAAATGCATACCTCTGGACTCCAATTATCTAGAGTGCACGAAAACACGGTTAAACGGTGGCGTAGCCGCTCCGTGTAATATCCTCTGCCTGTGTTTTACTGCTCATAATGAGATGACACAGTGTACATCACCCCACAGCTGAGTGTGGAGGTAATTGGATAACACGGGGGATGTATGCAATCAGATGCTAAACTCTTTTTTGTGCATGTGCGCCCGTTTTTTCAGCAGCAAACCACCAAGTCAGGGCCAAATCCAGATGCCTTCACCCGTCGCCATGGCAACACGACTAACTCCCCCTGCGAAGTCGTCACCTTTCGCTGTGGCTCTGTTTTATGTGGCCGAACACAAAAGAAAGCGAGACACACCCCGTTAGTGGAACTAAAGCACCTGTTTCTGGGTGGTTTTGGCCTCCTGCCTTCAGGGTTGTTTCAAATTAATTCAACCTTAGATTTACACTCTGTTTCAGAAAAAAATATTTTTATAAAGGGGGTTAGTTATCCCCCACTCAAGAATGAATCCTAATAATAAGGACAAAGCATTTCAGCACATGGTACATGTGGTTGTTCATAGTTTTGGTCATTTTTTACTTGAGTTTTTCTCATTTTGTGGCCCAGATGACACGACTCCCTTTTCATTACAAAGGTGATTACAGTAAACCAAGTAAAGTCCATCAAACTTCAGAGGTGAAGGTAACAATCTGATTTTAAAATCTGCTCTCAAATATATAATGTCTATCTATGTCAGATATGGATTCACATGCCGTCATAAATTATTCACTGAGCTGTTTTTACATATCAAACTCGGCTCTCCTCCCCCGTATGAATGTGCAAGTGCACACATTTACACACGGCGCATGTTTTTTAAAACCAGCAAGAGTGCTTTTAAAACCCGTTTCCTCTCTGCCACCCGAGAGCTCCTCTTTGAACTGCAGACTGCTGACCTGTCACACTAACCGAATCAATTACCATTCATTTACAAAGTCAGGCTTCAGGTCAGCTGGTCTCTGACTGTTTTGATATTATTTCATTTAAACTGAAGCACGAGGGTTAAAAACCTGCAAAATCTGCCGCAATACTGCAGATGTTCAACCTGAATAGTGAAGAGAATTCAATGTTTGCTTGAGTGAAATGAATGAAAGAAATAGAGCTGAATAGATTCTGTAAGGAGGATGGAGAATTTTTTTCATGAAAAAAAGGAGGAAAAAAAGCTGCCAGAATAGAAATTTATAACTCAGTGAAAAACCTCTGATTCATTTGTCTTCCTTGACTTACTTAAGTAAGTCCATATGTCATATTTATCTCCCTCACAATGTTTCTGAGCCAAACTTCACAGCCTGTATGAAGAGAGGACATTGTATTAATCCGCTGACATTTTCAGTTAAACCAACAGATTTGGAGAAAATGTACATAGCAATCTGTTCGGCGGGGAAATCAGCCTTCAGGGGGGAAGATGAGCTGAAAAACACACTTGCACACACACATAAAATCTCACAGATAAATATTATGTTTCTGTCAAACATCCAAAGAAGAAAACAATGCAGTTACTTTTTATGCGCATATGTGTCTGAAAAAAAAGTAAATAAATGAGGATTAAAACCCTGATCTTTTATTCATTTTTGTAGCAGTAGAAATCATCTAAGATTATTAAAATCATTATCTCAAATCTGAGCCGAGTGAAGCCTCTCTAAAACTCTTTTGCCTCTTCTTTTCTTACCATATACATATTCCAAGGGCACCTCATTTAAACAAATCAAATATCTAACAGTTTGTGCTTTGTTGCCAAGAGTTACTGTTCTGCCGGTTCTGCCCACTCACTTTTCGATGGTGAGTTTAAACTAGTGCCAGCAGGCAGAGTTAATGTGTCACATAGAAGCAACATTTGTCAATCACATATAAGGCCAAAAAAGCAATGCATTTGTTTCCAAAGTTCAAAAGAAAAACAGCAACAACTTTGTGTGTCTGTGCATTTGTGTGGTTCTCTTGTTGACTCAGCCCCCGCCTGTGATGTGGTGTTATAATAAACTCCAACTTGCATCCGTTAGGTACTTAAATGCAACAAAACCAGCAATGCTTTTGCCCCGTTTTGAACAGAGCTGTTTTTAGATGCCCTCACATGTAATGAAAATATTCATTATGATCTTTACACGAAATCCTGTTTGATCATAAGACAAAGACAGTGAGCCACATTAAGTATGCAGCATAAGTGCTCCTTTGCTTCTCTATATGTTAACTAAACCCAGCTACATTTCCATTTGCAATCTGTTGCATTGCTCATAACAAAGAAGCAGCGTATGTGTGTATTTATTGTTTAGTCTTCCACACAAGAGTTGAACTCTTTTTTACTTACCATGAACAATTACGCAGACAAGTAATGAAGTCTCACCACTGTCTTTTACCTCTTCCGTCCTCCTACTCGTTTTTATAATTGCTTCCAGTCTGACTCTCACTCTTTTAACCCAGATAGCCGTTTACCGTATCAGAAAACCACAGTTGTTTTCTCCTCGTGTGTCATCGACAACAGTCTTTTTGTGTGTGCACCCCGAGTGTTGATTTGTTGTCTTTATTGTCCTCTATGGCTCACCGTCACTGCTCTGCTCTATTTCTATAACACGGCCTGTGGGACACTGAAACACACACACACACATACATCTAAAAAAAAAAAAAGACACAAATCACAAGATAAAAAGGAAGCTTTCAGGCCTCTGTAAAGCAATTACCAGATTTTGCCAGTGAAAGAAAAGCCAAGTGACGGAAGAATGATCAACACAATAGCATTTCAGGGCTATGTGTGTGAGCTGAGTGTGGCCTTTTCCTGCCACAACAAGGGTACAATTGATCTCTCACCTGCAATATATCCCAGAAAAGCTGCAGACAGCCTGTCAGCACCGGAGACATAACACTTCATCATTGCTAAACATGATGTTACAAATCACTGGAAACTCAGCGCCGGTTTTTTCTCGCTTCTGGAAGGCTGAGATAACAAATAAATGGCACCGGCTGTAGTGAGTGGTAACATCAAAACGTTCAAGACTGAGAACCCCTCTCCCCTTTGCATCTGACTTGATGCTGTGGCACAAAGAAACACAGCACCTTGTGGATTTAGAGTTCAAGTTGCAAAGCACTTAACAAAAACAGAGCTGGCTGAAACCTTCCATAACTAAGTTAAACACAGTTTAACTCTGGTTAAACTCATACAAGAGTAATGGGTGGTTACAATGTGGAACATATGAATGAAAACAATGAATATTGTCCGGAGCCAGAAAGCTTAGAATAATTAAAACCGCGTCCATTGCCAAATCTTTTTGGCAAAGTTTCACGCAACAAAGTAGGACCTCTCTCCTATATGTCACTTCTTTTAATCCACCCGAGACTCGATTCACTGAGGAGCAGCAGCTGTCATTCAGACGCCATCAGAGCTGTTAAACGGGAACAAAACAACATAATTGTGCAATTAATTGTTCAATGGCTGCAAAATATTAAGTGTACCTTGAAGACACTAATTCAGCATCCTCCATGTAAATGTTCTGCCTCCACACACACACACACACGCCCTCACACACATTTAAAATGTCCTCAGCTGGTCGGCTGGCCCTGATGAGAAAGCAGGTTGTCCAACTGACTGACTTGATTGGTGTGTATATACACACACGTCTGCTCACCCGTACGACCTAATTTACTTGGACTGGGAGACTAAGAGGGAGGAGGGGTGCCGTGAGGAGCAGATGCAGTTCAGTTTCTTAAACGCTTTCATCTGACAAACTGACAGCGCCGGTGCGGAGACGCGAGTTGTGGAGGAGAGAGGGTAAAGAGAGGAGCACGGGAAGATTCTGCTTCTGCTCTGTTATCTGGAGATAGACTAACAACCAGGTGACAGGAGAAGGTTTAGCAAAGAGAAAAACTGGCAGACTTGTTCAGGAAATGAAAGAACGAGAGAGAAGGGGAAGGAAGGATAAGAACCGGGAAGGGTAATAAAATAAGGGGAAAATGGAGACAGACTGTGGCTAAGAGATTCCAGTTAGGCTGATTCAGGGTCTGCCGCTCTCTGAGAGCTGGGGTTTGCTGACTGACAGCTCAAGGAAAGCGTCCGGGCCTCACCCGGTCCTTCCCTCCACCACGCTCACACTCTGAGAAACACCCTGAGAAATATCCTGGAGCTCATGTGACATTCTGGGAAACAGCTACTGAAAGAAGATTAACCTTTGTTTTCTTTATTTTTTTGTTGCTATTCCCTCTTTGCTTTTTTCTCCCGGCACAACAAATTCCCTCTTCATTTCCTCCTGCCTCTTTTCTGTCTCACCTACTTTCGCTCCTCGTTTCTCACCTTTTTTTTTCTTTTTTACTTTCAACCCTTTTACCCGACCTTTTTGACAATATGCCCCCATCTGTATCTCCAGGCTTTATCACTTTGTTTTTCAGTCCTTTCGTTTCTTTTCTGCCCAAGTAACCTCCTACATACCATCCAGATCTCCTGCTCCTTCGGATTTTTCCATATTCCTTCTAGCCAAGTGTCATTTGATGTGTCATAATGGATGTGCA